AAACAGAAAAAAAAGTCTTCTTTAGAATCTTCATGTGTATTGGCACATACACTGATCAGCCACTACGTTATGACCACCCACCTAATATTGAGTAATGCCCCCTTTTTTTGGCCAAAACAGCCCTCAACTGTGTAGACATGGAGATGACGACGACCGCTTTTGTTATATTTAGTGGTGTCTTCTCAGTAGTATGAGGATGCTGCACCTTCACCTTGTCTCAAAATACCAACCAAAATTGTTCTCTTCGTTCCTCCCAAGACCTCCTGCTCTCTAGCTCCCTTGTCACCGCCTCTCAAGCTTGCCTCCTGGACTTCTCCAGAGCTCCTCCCATCCTCTGAAACACCCTACCCCAATCTAGCGCCTACTCTGTCTACTTTTTAGATGATCCCTGAAAACTCATCTCTTCAAGTTGGCCTATCCTGCCCCCCACCTAACAACTGTACATGTATTTTCTCCATCAGCCCATCCCCAACAGTTATTACCTTTTTGCATCACTTGATCCTCCCTCTTAGATTGTAAGCTCTTGTGAGAAGGCCCTCTGATTCCTACTGTATTAACTTGTATTGTAATTGTCTGCCCTTATGTTGTAAAGTTCTGCGTAAACTGTTGATGCTTTATAAATCCTGTATAATAATAGAATATTGGCTCCAAGACCTTTGCACGTCTGGAAATCTCTCAATGATTGTCTATAACCTGAGGAGGTAACTTCTGCAGTTGTTGGGACTCTTCAGCCTTTCACGTTGCTGCTTTTGCAGTCCACTAATAGATTGTTGTATGACAGTTCACCCTGGCCACGTACAGTGGAATGTTTGAACTTCACAGCTGAAGAGCGATACCTGAGCATGTGCGAGGTTCCAGCCAGAGCAGTTTCTCCCTCTTCTTCTTCTTTCCATCTCTTCCTCGCACACTCCAGAAGAGCAGCAGCCTGGACAATAGGATCGTTTATTTCCAGACCTGATGTCCTAAATGTTTTATTAGGAATGCACTCTACTTAATTCCTTTTGCGAAAGTCTGATTGTGTGCCAAAATAATCGCGTCGCTCTCCAGAATCAGCAGGCTGCTCAGGCCCAGCGCTCACTGAGAGAGTGATATTAACTGATGGGATGCACAGAACTTGGATTTAAACAATGGCTCTCTCTGCAGGGGAAGTTTAACCCTTTGTGTGCCAAGCAACAGAATCACTTACCCAGTCCAGGGATGATGAAACCAGTCCCCCTGGCTTTGTTTTAAGCAATAAACCTCTCTATATGCAAAGTTGTAAGAAGTAACGGTAGAGTTAAAGTTGTGATCCTAAGGGAAGGAGACATTTTTTTTTTTGTGCATAGTCAACTTCTGCTTTGGTATACTTTTTTGTGTGCATCCAGCAGCAATCATCATAGATAATCTCTGACTGTGCGAACAGCCATTAATAGCTGCCGGCAACCTGTCATTGAAGTGTACAGGCTTGGTGGCTGCAGCTAGCTCCTCACAGATGTCAAACACAGCAGCAGGAATCTGAAGATTCCTCTTGCTGCCATTCGCACTGTCACAAAATACACGTGAATGTAGCCCAACATAGGATGCCTGTACGCAGCTCCAGCTGCATAAACAAATTACTTATTCTTGTTGTATGAATGATTCCCCAGAGACAAAGGTAACCAGGATAACTAGAAAGGGGGAATCTCAGCCGTAAGGACAAAGATGGCAATAAAAACTCAACAGAGGTTCTAACCCCTCCAACCTCCACCCCAAAAATAAATGTGTGTGTGTGTGTGTGTGTGTGTGTGTGTGTGTGTGTGTGTGTGTGTGTGTGTGTATGTATGTGTGTGTGTGTATGTATGTGTATGTATGTGTGTGTGTGTATATATGTATGTATTATGTGTATATGTATGTATATATATATATATATGTATATATATATATATGTATGTATGTATGTATGCGCGCACACACTGTACTAATATATGGCTTTAAATATACTGCCACATCATTACTACAGAGCAGAAAATCTTATTTTTGAGAAGTTGATTTTGGATGAAAGTAGGTTGTTGGGCCATGCTGTGATTTCTGAATGGTCTACAGGCTAGGTGCTTCCCCCCTTCTCTTTTTTTTTTTTTTTTTTGAAAAGTTGAGGTGTACCAGTGTGTTATGGAAGGCAAATGGATAAATACATATAAGGGACCAGTTTTACCTGTCGAATTTATTTCTGTCCATCCTGTCCTGCGATTTACACAGTTCTGCCACATAGCACAGCCCTGTCTGGCAGGACAGGAGACTTGCTTTTTCTCTGCTTCAGACCCCTAGTCCTTATCCCTCCCCTAGCCTGTGATTGGACACAGAAAGGAGAAGCAGTAGATTCTTCTACCTGTATGTTTCTTGTTTGCACATGAACACTGTAGTATCACTGATTGGCTGTTGCGTCCTGCTCTCTGAGCTTCGCTGTACAGGGACTGCAAAGGCCGATGCCAAGTAAAGTTCTGATAAAGTTCTGATACGTATACTGCTTGGCAAGAAAAGTCTGTTAGGATATAGTAATTAATATAGAGCTGCATTACAGTGTGATCTGTTTTCATACCTGGAGTTCAGCCTTAACCTGGTTTCCTGACGGCAGCAGAACTTCATCTAATTTTAGCCCATAAATAGGGGCATATTTGTAAAGTCGGTGAATTTTCCTGGTACGTGTGTTTTTAAAATGACAGTGATTCACAACCAGTAAATGTTTAAAAGTCACATTTACGGCTTTTAAAATTTGCTCCTTTTTTTTTTGTTTTTCTGTTAGCCACATCATACACTTTGATTTTATATAACATCAGCATTGTAATAATACAAACAATTTTTACAATCAAATGTAAGCTTACTTCAGAAATGTTTTATGTTGTTCTTTTCAATATGCGACACCACAGCACCTACTTACAGGGCATAGTGACACAGAATTCAAAGAAGCAAGAGCCCATTCATACTGGAATGCTGTGAGGGTTTCCCGCATTTAGAATGCACTGCACTTGTGATCTGCAGCAGGTGTCAATGCAGTGTTAAGGACACCCCCAAACGCAGGGCAAACAAATTTACAATGCGATCCCGTTTCAGTGCGTTTCCAAAAGTAGCATGTGGAATGGACAGAAATTGCACCGCATGTGAATCACACTGGAACGTGCAGCACATTCCTTGCAATTCCTAGTATGAATGGGCCCTAAGTGTGTGTGGATATGTTTACAAACTTCAAGATCATTCCGGTTAATAAGAGTAGGCTAGAAATACAATGCAGACGTGAATATGGTTTTTCCTTTAGATATGCTTTAACCTTCATGTGTGATGGATGACCCAGACAGCTGGGGGAAGATGTCTTATTTTCAAGCCTGTTGTAAAATGCTTACAGGAAACTCAAGAAGAAACTGCAGGAAGTTGTGACATTCTCCCTGTCTGGGCTGCAGTGTCATGGTTGTGCTACGTGACCCCGGGAGCACTCAATCGATACCTCCAGCACTCATTGACTTGTGGGCAAAGCTTTTGTGGCAGAGTTATGTCACTACAAAACCTTGCTCTGCAGCTGCTGTGGCACGTCAAGTCCCAGTAAATGTAAGTTTGTCCTTGCATGCTGAGATTTTTAGTTCTAGCCGTGCATTGTATAGGACTAGTTCACATCATGCCGCTGTGCTGGTGTGCTTTGCAGTAAAATGATCAGACCTACAAAAAAAAAACAAAAAGATTTTATAATCATTTAAAATCTCATTTAGAATCTCAGGACAGAAGTCCTGTAAATCTCCCTATCAGGAGCCACAGAAAAAAAACCTGTTCTCCCCATTAGAGGGGTTTCCCTTCTATTCCTGTTCTGGTTGGATATTGGTGTCATTTAGCAGCTGCCCTATTAGGTGTCCCTGTCAGTCACTTTCTTCTGGAAACCTCTGTGCTTTGCCATTGTGGTTGATACATTTTGCACATATGATGGCATCACTTTTGAGAATTCTTTTTGCATTTTGTTTTGAATGATGAATCTGCAGTTTCTGTCCTTACTGGGTCTTCTTCTTTTTGTTTTCTTCATGTTGCTTTGTGAACCCAGACATATTTTTTACTTGACAATCTATTCTCCTGTACAGCTGCACCTGTAATTGGGATTTATGTACGGGAAGGGCCAGTTCACGCCACAAAAACGCACTCCGAATGCACTCCAGATACGTTTCTGCTTACAGTTCACACCACACTGCTTTCCGGTGCAGTTTGCTACGTTCCAGTATGGTTCTGTGCAGAAAGTGCAGCATGTCCTGCTTTTTTACGGCACCGGAAAGTGACTGGAACTGACTGCACTGGTGTGAACTAAGGCCATTGCAATACATGGAAAACACTGTGCATGCATTTTTGATGCAGAAAAAAAAAACGCACTGGACTGCATCTGGTGTGAACCAGCCCTAAGGGCTAATTCACACTAGATGACTGGACAGTGGTTTCCATGTATTCCAATGGCCCTAGTTCACACCAGTGCAGTCAGTTCCAGTCAGTTTCTGGTGCTGAAAAAAACAAAAAAACAAAATGCTGCATTTTTTCAGCACAGAACTGTACTGGAGCATAGCAAATTGCATCAAAACTGCACCAGAACGGAGTGTGGTGTGAACCATAAGCAAAAATGTATCCGGAGTGTGTTTTTTTTGTGGCGTGAACTGCTCCTAAAATTTTGTTTTTGTTGCCACTGCGTAGTCTTTTACAGATGGCAATGTCACATATATCAGTTTTGTAATTTAAAAAAGACACTTTATTTTTTTTTTTTTTTTTAAATAAAATTTCCCTCTGCAGTCCCAAATGCCTGAATAGGGAATTGTGGAAAGGTTGTACAAATATTTCAGGCTGGTAATTGGCAGCATTATGAGTAACACCTATTTTTTTTTAGTTTTTAATTTTCCTCCAGCTTCCTGGAGTTCCATCAGTAGTAATTCACCCTATTCTTTGTGTTCCAGGTAAAAGATGGCAGTCCTTTAGAGGAGACTAAAAAGAGAGCCGCGGTGGTGGCTCCCCTCCCCCTGGCCTGAACAATGGAGGATGGCCAAAACGATAAGGTGAACCTGGCTCACGTCCTGTTTGACCGATTCGTCCAGGCCACCACCTGCAAGGGGACATTAAAAAGTTTTCAAGAACTATGCGACCACCTGGAGCTGAAACCTCGGGACTACCGCTCCTTCTACCCCAAACTCAAGTCCAAACTTAACTACTGGAAGGCAAAAGCTCTGTGGTCGAAATTGGACAAGCGAGGGTCCCATAAGGACTACAAGAAGGGCAAAGCCTGCAGCAACACCAAGGTGAGGATGGCAGCCATAACAGGAAGGTCTAATGTCATTTCAATCACATCACACTTTATTGTAACGTTTGCCTGGCATTCACTTTTTACATTCTTGTCCGGTGTTTACTTGCACTCTTTCATATTTCCATTGTTATGGTTTTATATCCGGGTTTGTAAATCTCATTCCAGTGGCTATCTATGTACATAAACTGATCACAAACAAGGCAGCAGTTTGTGTTTTTTTTTTTTTTTTTTTGTTCAGTTTCAGATAGAGTAGTCAAGGATTTGGGACTCTGTCAGGTTTTTATTGTGGTCTGTGTACCTACTGGATAAATTCACCCTCTCATTTTGTCCTAGTGACCATTTGTCTCTGGAACTGAAGGTGATGGGTAATCCAAATGTTGGAATTGTCATCAGAACTGAAAGTGATGGGTAATCCAAATGTTGGAATTGTCATCAGAACAAGGTGTGAGGGGAAAATCTTCCAGTGGGGACACCTGTTCTGGTGATAACTATGAGAGGGAGAATACCACATTATACCACTAGATGGAGCTGGCGATCATAGGTAATGCTTATTTCCTCGAGCGTTGGCTCCATCTAGTAGCTCTAATGCAGTATTTTCCTGGTTCCCTCTATTCGGTATGAATGAATAACCTTCGACCCGGAAAGAAAATAGCCTAAAACATTCAATGTACCCCCATTTACACAGAATGAATGTACATGATGTTTTTCAGGATGAATAGCACTGCAAATCCCTTTTTTTTTTTTTTTTTTTTTTTTTTTTTTTTTTTTTTTTTTTTTTTAAAACCACTTGCCCTCCGGAGGATTTCCCTCCCCTTCCTGACCAAGCCATTTTTTGCATTGCAGCACTGCATTACTTTAACTGACAATTGCGCGGTCATGCAATGCTACACCCACATTAATTTTATGACCTTTTTTTTTTTTTTTCCCCCGCGAATTGAGCTTTCTTTCAGTGGCATTTTTTCTTTTCTTTTTTGCGCTATAAAAAAAAAAGATTGACAATTTAGAAAAAAACAATATTTTTGACTTTTTGCTATTAAACATGTCCAGTAAAAAAAAAAATCCTCATAAATGTAGGCCAAAATGTATTCTGCTACATGTAAATTAATTAATTTATGTGAAAGTTTTTATAGTGTTTACAAATGGCAGAATATATCACTGACATCCCCAATATAGTGATCCGTGCTAAAAAAAAAAAAAAGCACTGACACTGTACTAATGGCACTGGGTAGGAAAGAGTTACCATGGGGCGATCAAAGGATTAACTGTGTGCTGTGTGTGTTACTGTGGGGCTGTGTGCTTGTGTTCTGTTTTACTCTGTACTGTGTCTGTGTTTCACTGTAAGCACACTCCTTTGGATGGCTGTGCTGTACACAGCCATCCAATGCAGTGTGCACCAGCTAACAGGAAGGAGAACGATGTATTGTTTACATACCGTTCTCCTCCCCGTCAGAGATTCTCGTGAAGCGCCGGAGAGTAATCACCTCGCAGTAATCGCCTTGCACACCCCCTACCCGTAAATGCAAAATCACTTGTATATTTCTGCTATAGGGCAGTCGGGAAGTGGTTAATAAATGTCTCTGTTTACTAATAAACACTGTTGCCCGGAGTAGTAATTAAAAATTGGTTTGGTTTTGTTATAGCCCAACTCTAGTTTTTGTTTTCTCCTTATGAACACAAATTTGTCTACAGTGGGGGAAATAATTATTTGATCCCCTACAGATTTTGTAAGTTTGCCCACTTACAAAGAAATGAAGGGTCTATAATTTTTATCGTATGTGTATTTTAAATTTTAAGAGATCAGATTATCAACCAAAAATCCAGAAAACCATGATACAGATGTTTATAAATTGAGTTGCAGTTCAGTGAGTGAAATAAGTATTTGATCCCCTACCAACCAACAATAATTCTGGTTCCCACAGACTGGCTATGTGTTATTACTACGATTTTTTTTTTCTATATTTTTATTTTTTTATTTATCTACCTTTGCAGATGATATATTAATGTATATTTTTTATTTTTTATTTGCTTTCTCTTTCAGTGCATGTATGTATCTATGTATATGTGTATATGCATGTGTATATATTTATGTATATGCGTTTATAGAAATTACAAAAGATTGCACTTTAAATAACCCCCTTCAACCCCTCGCCTTATAACAAGTAGAGAAGGTGGAGCTTTGCTCCCAAGGCATTTAGCCCTGGTTATTTACCACTTGACCTTCATACAGGCTGGTCATTAGCTCTGAGGAAAGGGATTCGTCCCCGAAACGCGTCAGCCATTTGACCGCACTGACAGTGGGAACACCTTGGCCATCGTCATTTTGCAGTGCTTTTTAGATATAAGCTTCGTCTGTGAGTATGTTTTTATCTTTCACTCCTTTCAAAAAACCTTGGATAATGCACTAGGGGTGTGCGCCACCTGTTTTTTTCTTTATCCAGTGGTTGATCTCCCCGTGTGAGGAGGGCTGCAACCCTGAAGCATTTCCTTTGGTTGTCGCTGTCCTGGTTCCCTTGGCTTCCCCTTGTGCTGTGCATATCCTGAGGAGTTGGAGAGTACATACGTTACCCTGGATATATAACATTCTATCCACAAGTAGATTAATACGCAGAATCGTCTGCTGAATGTCTACATATGAAATATGAGATACCTGCTGGGATGGTTAAGGAGATATTGTTTTCTGCTCTCCTGTTGATCTCAGCTAGGGGATGTAATATACCAAACAATTTGTATTAAAGTGAGCCATCTGAATATGTGCTCCATGTTTATGTAGTTATGTCCTATTTGAAGATATAAAATTATATGGAAAAGTGAGTTTTTAAATGTACGTCCTGTTTTTAAGACTACCTGGAATGTCTTTGAGGCTCCGTGAGGGCTTGGTTTATGGTTTTTCCCTTCTCCAGCAAGAGTCTCACAGACATAGGGGCACCAGATAGTGAGGTTAATAGCCATGACACCCTCCCAAAGAGTTGCTGCCTGTGATCTCTGTCATCAAACAGACCACATGTCACTCAACAGAGAAGGAAGGGGGATATCGCAGGAATCTGATTTGGGAGATACAAGATGGAGGGGTTTGGAGCAAAATGGATGACCGCGTCCATCTCTGTGTGCACAATTGCTACACCATGTATTGTAAAATCTTGTACGAGAACCTTCTTCCCTCAGCCAGAACACTAAAGGTGGGTCGTGGATGGGTCTTCCAGCATGACAATGACCCAAAACATACCTCCAAGGCAATAAAGTGGCTTAAAAAGCAGCACAATTAAGGTCATGGAGTGGCATAGCCAGTCTCCAGACCTTAATCTTATAGAAAATTTATGGAGGGAGCTGAATCTTTGAGTTACTTAAGGATTTAGAGAAGATCTGTAAAGAAGAGTAGATCAAAATCCCTCCTGAGATGTGTGCAAACCTGGTAACCAACTACAAGAAATGTCTTACCTCCTGTGCTTGCCAACAAAGATTTCTCCACCAAGTACTAAGTCACGTTTTTCTTGGGGATCAAATACTTATTATACTCACTGAACTGCAACTCAATTTATAACATTTTTACTGTTTTGTTTTTTTTTTTTTTCTGGATTTTTGATTGATATTCTGTCTCTAACATATAAAATACACCTTATAATACAAAGAAAAGAAGGGTCCCTATAAATTTTGTCTATAAATAAGTGGGCAATCTTACAAAATCTGCAGGGGATCAAATAATTTTCCCCATTGTATGCTACTGACATTGTTCATGTAGAAATACTGTACACTTGTTTATTACTCACTGTCTATCTCTGCAGTGTCTGATTATTGGCGCAGGGCCATGCGGTCTGCGTACTGCCATTGAGCTCTGCTTCCTCGGGGCCAGGGTGGTGGTGGTGGAAAAGAGAGATGCCTTTTCGCGAAACAATGTCCTTCATTTGTGGCCCTTCACTATCCACGACCTGCGGAGCCTGGGAGCCAAGAAATTCTACGGCAAGTTCTGCGCTGGGGCCATTGATCACATCAGTGAGTATTGTGAGCTTTGTCATAACGTGGTATTCAGAATCGGGCAGATGTGTTTTTTGGTCACATTTGGATGTATGTGCATGTTTTTTTAAAGTCGAAAACAAGTAGGCTATAATTTAAGAGCAACTTAAATCGGCATCAGTTCCCTGTCCTCCTGATCCGTACTGCCATTTGCTGGCCTCTCACAGATGTTGGCTTTCTCTGCCCTCAATCATCTTTGCTCTTCATAATGTGTGGGTGTAATCTTTAGGCCTGAAGTGTGTGTGTGTGTGTGTGCGTGTGTATGGTGATCACATCCTACCTTCATCAACCTTTTCTCAAGGGAAAATAAATTTGGTTCAGTTAACCCCTTGTTAATTTAGTTGCTTGCCTGTGCAGTTTTTCCAGTTTCCTGTCAACTGGTGCCCAAAAACTGATTTTTCGATTTCACAATTTTAGGCCTTGAGGCATGTTCACACCACATGCAGCGCAGTGCTTTTTTCTGCATCAAAAAGCATGAAAGTAGGTTATATAGGTTTCCTTCATAGAACTGTACTGTAATGCAGTAAAAAGCTTCAAAAACGCACAAGACCCCAGTACAGTTGAGAGAAAAAAAAACCCGGAAAAGCATTGTTTTGGTGAAAATAAAGACTTTGCAATTAATGCAATAAAAAAGGGGGGAAAAAAGGATCTGGAAACACATCAAAAAAGCATAAAAAAAACACTGGAATGCATTAAAGCACATGCAGAAATGGATCTGGAGGACATTTTTGTGGTGTGCACTGGCCTTTATAGTCTTGTAGGTGTTTGATACAGTTCCAGGACATGGTCTTGTTATGGGAGATCAAACACAGCTGATGGTCCCTGGGGGTAGAGATAAGGTGACCAAACAGAAAACCAGCACTGAACTGAACTGGTGCAGGGAATTTGTTTTCCAGAGAATAAAACTTTGATTTGTTGGCATTAAAAGCTTTTGCATGGCCCAGTGTGATGACCTCATCCTTGTATACTGCAGTAACCAATAGAAGATAATGTCTCTGCCATCACCGCCAAGCTTTGTACTTCTCCCTATCCCTGCCAGTGACATCTACTTTACTGCTGCATAATTTTACGATGTGCTTCCTCAGGAAGATTGAATCTCTGTGCAATGTTCTCCTGGTTTCCGCTGACTTCTTCTGTCCTCCATCCATATATGTCACACTAACAGTTTGATGCATATTTTTGTTACAATTACTACACAGATGATTGGGAAAGTAATCAGGCTGATGGAGGGTCCATCTTCTCAAGGGATGAAGGGATTTCACATAATGATTATTTTGTGGCCAATCTGAATAACTGTTCATCTGCAATCCTCATTTTTTAAGCAGATTGTACAGACAATTCAGAGAGTAATTAGAGATGTTTATCACTGGCTCTTTCATCACTCATTACATGAGAAATCGATTACCTGATCATTACAGATGGTAATCAAATCTGTTGTGGAAGGGTTAGATGCCTTGTCAGATTTTTGTTACTGTTTGTGAACCCACTGGGCAGATTCACCCTCTATTTGTCCTGTGACCACTGACCTTGCTACAGAAAGTGAAGGAAGAGCAGAGTGTTGTATCTGTGACTAGAACAGGAATAGAGAGGAAATCTCCTCCTCTTTCAATGGGAACAGCTGTTCTAGGGATTTCCTCTTGCTTCCTGTTGTGTTTTGGGACCAAAAGTTGAGGAAAAGCTCGAGTTTTTTCTTGAGGAAGATCATGGTAGCCAGTAAGGTTGCCGGTAGGTACTGGACAGTACTAATTTGGGTAATTGGTATCTTGGCACACCAGGTCCATTCTTCATGATTCTGTTTGTGCTGTCCTGCTCCAGGAGGGGCAGACTTTGAGCTTCCTGTGTTGGGTACTGTGGCTTTTGGCAGTAGCTTGATCTCTGCCACTGCATGTGGTGGTCGAGGAAGGGGTCGAAGGGGTGAACTCCCAAATTTCTGCTTCAGGTAATGAAGTTCCCTACATAGTTTACCCTGTAAGGGCTCTCCTCCGGGTTTGATCCGTTCTGAATCCTTGCCCATATCTGGCCTTTCTACTGTGTTTTTTCTTTTAATCAGGAAAACGTTTTAGTTTTATACAGAGACAAACCAAAGCAAACAAGGTGTTGCGCACAACATCAGGGGACAAAATCAGTAATATATAACATAAAAATATTATGTTTGTAGGCACACAGAACATCCGATATTACAAAGCACAGGAACATACAAGGATCCAACCATAAAATTTAGTTTTTCCAAGTCAAATATTAACATATATGAGAGGATGTCATTACAATTTTTTAGATTCAAACATCCAGCCTTAACCTGCAGGATGGACAGGGATATAGGGTGTGGGGGTGGGTGAGTCAGGCTCTTTCTACTGTTTCAGGGGCAGGTTGCTACAATTTCTTTGTGTCTGGGGAGGAATTTTTGGCAGACATCTCAGGGATGCGAAAATTGCTCCTAGGGGTTCTCACTAGGCTGGGATGCAAATATGGGTGCTCTATCGCCCTTCCTGTCAGAGTATCATTCTGTGGACAAGAATGTGGAAGAGGAAGCCTGTGAGGATTAAGACTGCTGTTTTGAAGAGCCCTCTCAGGCCCAGACCTTCAACGTTTTCCTATCTTGGGTGCAGAGGAATAAAGGTACCGTATTTTTCGCCATATAAGACCGCACCCAATTTTAAAGGAGGAAAATCTAGAAAAAAAAGATTCTGAACACAATACTGTAGTAAAATATTTTATATCAACTGTATAAAGTTAACAGCAGTTTAAGAACAATTTTATGCCAACCATGTAACATATTAAGAACTATCTTTACTCTCATTAACAGTCAGTAAACAGTGAAAGTAATAATAGCCAGTAACATTGCCCCCACATTAGTAATAATAGGCAGTAACATTGCCCCCACATTAGTAATAGCCAGTAACATTGCCCCCACATTAGTAATAATAGCCAGTAACATTGCCTCCAACATAGTAATAATAGCCAGTAACATTGCCCCCACATTAGTAATAATAGCCAGTAACATTGCCCCCACATTAGTAATAGCCAGTAACATTGCCCCCACATTAGTAATAATAATAGCCCCCAGTAATAATAGCCAGTAACATTGCCCCCAACATAGTAATAATAGCCAGTAACATTGCCCCCACATTAGTAATAATAGCCAGTAACATTGCCCCCAACATAGTAATAATAGCCAGTAACATTGCATTGCCCCGCTCCTCACCTGTTGTTGTAGATCCGCGCTATGGTAGGATCCACGAGCAGAGGGGGTGATGACGTCAGCGCGCACCGCCGCCGGGTGTACTAAGATGGCCGACCGCTCCAGAGATAGGCCAAAGCCTTGGCCTTTCCTACGGCCGTGGCCGCTCCTCACGGATCCTCTCTCTATTTGTCGTATAAGACGCACCAACTTTTCCCCCCCAGTTTTGGGGAAGAAAAAGTGCGTCTTATACGGCGAAAAATACGGTAGTTTTTTTTTTGGGAATGCCTTCAGAATAAAATTAAAATTGCCACTTCCGGAATCTACTTTTCTGAAGATCACAGGGTTTGCATCCTGGAGGACAACAAAATTCCTAAATCTTTTTCTATCTATCCTTATTTGCAACAAGTGATGTATGGTGATTTGGGCTCATCTAGAGAAGATGTTCTCAACTTTCAAAAGCATTCTTCTGGTGGGCAAGGTTCTGGTCTTTATGGATGTTATGAACCAGAAGTTGAACGCTCTCATTAAGGTATCGTTTTCTTTGACCATTGCAACTTTGCGGCTGACAGTGGCTGCAGGAGTATGCCCAGCACTGAAAGCGTGGTCAAAAAGCGTTCTGGTCCAGGGAAATTATTTCTGAGGACCCTGTCATTGGACAAAACCTTGAGTAGTTCCCAAAAACCTTGACCTTCTTGATGGATGCCTTGGAAGATTCCATTAGGTGATTTTTTTGACTGGGTGTTGTCTGTCCATATAAAGAGAATCCTGTGACTCAATGCTGATCTGCTGAACTCCTGTGGAAGAAGCAAATTGAGCATGTGTCTTTTGAGTGCTAACATACGCTTGGGATGCCATTTGAATCCTTCTTTCCAGAAGGTGACTTGGGAAAAAAAAAACACACTATTGCCCCTGAAAAATGTGGCAAAACTGATGGGTCAGAAGCTGAAACCTGCTTGCTTTTTGTCAGCCACAGGCCTTAGGCTCCAGGCAGAAGCCTACCAAACAGTTCTGCAAGAACTGGTACTTGAAGGCCGCCAAAGTCCAGAAACAAGTCCACGTCCCAATCAGAGTAAGCAATGTCGGTACGTGAGAGGAGGCTGTACAACTGTGCAAGAGTGAACTTTTAGGCTGGAGTTCAGCCTAAAGTGGTGCAAGGATTTGTTTCAGAATAAAAACCTGGAAGAATTACTAATCCCACTCCTGTGGGGTGTGGATGAAGTTCTTTAATGTATGTAAAATAAAAATGACTGTTTACTACTCCTTTTTAAAAATTAAAACCTTCTTGTGGTTTAAGATCAATTTTACATTTACTCTATCCTTTTTCCTGTCATCGATTTTTGTAGTACAGCAGAGATGAGAACAGTTGCCAGCTGAACTTACTGTACACTTGCACATGAGGACATTTGTGAGACAGATGTAATATAAGATTGCAGGTATCTCTGTGCCAGTAAAAACATGCCCTCACCTCTTTTTAATTTGGAATTTGTAAGGGTTTGGGGTATTTTTTTTTTCTTTCATGATTCCATAATATTTTTCTCAAAATTAAGTGATTCCATATTTTTTACCTTTTGCTTGATCTGCAAAAACAGTTGTACCAAACTACAGTCTTTCTTTTTTTCTTGTTTGTGTTTCTTAAAGTCAGAAGGTTGGAATGCTAAATTAAAATAGTTTTGAGGCATGTCTGATTTTTTTTTTTTTTTTTCCTACACAAACAATTGAATGAACATTTTCTAAGAATAGTGATTCCATACTTTTTGCCAGGGGTTGTATTTGAGACAAGTACACACTTTTTTAGAGGGATATTCTTTGTTCAGACTTCAAACTCTGAACTTTGTTCTCAAGTGGTTGTAAACCTCAGACATTTGAACAAAGTGTAAGCATATGAAAAATTGTAAATGGCATGTATGATACAATCTGCCATTGTCATTAATACAGCATTTTTTTTGTATTCATGAGTCACTCTGTATCAGTTTTATCACTCGACCCTACCAGTAGATAAATTATTTTCTGACTACCTTTCACAAGCTAAACTGTCTAACAAAAGTGACAGTAGCAGTTGTTGGGACAAACCATATTGCATTCGGGATTGCTTAAAACTTTCAGCTGACTGTTAGACAGCTAGAACATCCCGACTGAGGTTCTAACCTGAACCTGCTCTTTTCAGAAAGGGTCATCCTTGGAGTTGCTGTAGAGTCTGCTGTAATACACAGGTTGGGTTTGCCACAGTAAATGTCCACTCCTCCACTTCTATATTCCAGGTATTCGCCAGCTACAGCTCATACTTCTGAAAGTGTCACTCATCCTGGGAATTGAGATTCATGTCAATGTTGAGTTCCAGGGTTTGGTTGAACCACCAGAAGATCAAGAAAATGAACGTGAGTAAAAAAAAAAATCCCTCACTAAATGTCGTCATAATGCACATAGTTTTAGAACATACTGTACATGTTCCATAAATACCTGTGTTATAGATTATTTGATATTAAATGTATGTATGATCTATTAAAGTTGTGATTTAATCTGCTTATATTTTATTTTCCATTGTTCCTCCCTGCCCCTTAACTTGCAATTTTTTTCCATTGCTTTCCTATATTCCATTTCCTTATTTTCATTACATATCCTTAAAGGAGAAGTACAGCCAAATCCCGTTTGACTGTACTTCTCCTGCGGATCACAGGAGTGCAGTTCGTTCTGCTCTCCTGTGACCTGTTTTCACCCGACAGCAGGCTAACGTCCACAGGTCCCAGTGGTGGAAAGATCCATCCAGATCCCTGGACCAGCAGCTGTCTCAGCCTGTGCCAGCCCCTCCCGTCCCCTCTACAGCCCAGCGCTACAGTGAGCACTGATAGTTCTGGCTCTCTGCTTAGAGCGGAGGGAGAGAACTGAGCAATCAGTGGTGTCTGATCGCTCAGTTCTCATACTTGGAACTGGTGGGGGACAGATGCAGGCAAATATACATTTTTAAAAAATGCAGGTAAATATAATTAAATAAAAACTAAACTTTCAAGCTGGGCAAACACGGGCCAAAAATCTGCTGAAACCAGTCCGTTCAGCAGTCAACTTTTTGCCTGTGTACAGCTCCTTGGCCAACCGAAGCTGGTCTCTGTTGAATGGGCATGCTAGAAAACCAGCAACTGATCAGCATTGTCAGCCAGTGGCTGCCAGCACTGATCAGTGTGTCCTGGCAGAATAGCTCAGCGGGGAGATCGTCGCACTAACTTAGGCTGCATTAGTACGGCGATCTGTATGTCTTTTCGCTCAGCCCACTAATGGGGGGGGGGGGGGGGGGGAACGACTTCCTGTGTGTGCCCATCATTAGACTCGGAGGTTGGGTCTCTGTACTTCTGTATTCAACGCAGGCAGATCGTGGCTAGTATGAGAGGCTGGCTACCCAAAAACATCATGACACCCTTCCTCAGTATGCTTCTCAAGAACCCTTAGCTGTGATACAAGCCTAGGGCTGGCTCTTGGGAGGAGTTATAATGGGCATTCCTAGGCAGGCTATGTTTGCCTTCACACCACCCTAGGTAACTCCCACATGTGATGCTAAGCTTCCATCATTGGAAGAACTGAAATCCAATGAATGAAAGGAATGAGCTAGGGACAGTCAGGTTTTGGAAGACAAAGCTAGATGATGCTGGATGTCAGCAGGTCAGATAGGTGGGCTCTAGTGCATATTGTGAGAAGCTTACAGTGCATTGAAATCATAATAAGCAATTTCAGTACTGGAGAGGAGCCTGAATAGCTATGCAAGATTGAGGGGAAGACTGGAGTTCAGCTTTAAATGACCATTTCATGTTTTGTATGTAATTTTTTGTTTCTGGATATATGTAGCGCAGAATAAGACTTATTTGAAAGGCACCTTCTGTAAAATCAATATTTTATTTGTCAGGTACAAGCTGGCGGGCCAAGTTCTACCCCAAAGGTCATCCAGTGTCCGAATTTGATTTTGATGTCATCATCGGTGCGGATGGCAGGAGGAACACATTGGCAGGTGAGTTGGAATCTTGTTTTGTTTTAGGGTTTTGTTGTCATGTGAAAAAGTTGCTGAGATCTTTTTTGCTTCCTCACCTCCTCTCAAGGTTTCCGCAGGAAGGAGTTTCGTGGGAAGCTGGCCATTGCCATCACAGCAAATTTCATTAACAGGAACACTACAGCAGAGGCTAAGGTGGAAGAAATCAGCGGCGTAGCCTTCATCTTCAACCAGAAGTTCTTTCAGGACTTGCGAGAGGCCACAGGTCAGTGTCTGTAGACTGTCCTCTCATTTTTGTGTGGGATAATAATGACTGCTCTGGACCCTGGGGATCCAGAGGGCCCTATTAAGACATGAAACATGCTTAAACTCTTTGCAGTTGCTGCACATTTTGAGAGTGATTCTACTGGTGTTCCTTTGCTCCTCTTATTCCGCGTGAACAGCCTTGAAATGCTTCTGCACAGAACTTCTTTAGTGCAGTAGTAAGTAAGTATGTGCAGAAAGGAAAATGCATAAGAAAAACTAAGGATGCTACAGTAAAAGGGTACCACTTTAAAGTTTATCTGAACTTTTAGTACAGTTACCCTTTAAATGCATCCACTCCTAAGCATTACACTTCGTTTCCCCAACTCCTTTTGAGGTCTTCACTGTATGGATCACGTGGAACTACACAATTACTTCTCTAAATGTCTACAGGCTGGGCTCTGAGGCAGAGGAATTCAGTCTTATGGAGAGGCTGTCCACCTCTGGGATGAATAATGATGGCCTCTCACTATAAATGAATAGAGGGTCTTCCATGCATGTGGAGCCTCACCCATAGGTCTCTGGAACAGCAACAGAGCTGCTCCCAGTGGAGCAGCAGAGACCAGTAAATATAAGGCCCCATTAAAACTTGTGAATGGGGCTGTTTGCGGTTACTCACGGTAAAATTAGGATCCATTTGTTTAGGTGCATGCTGTTTGCAGACGTTTGCATGTATTTGCTTATGCAGCTATTATGTGTGGATGATTGGCCCTGGACACAGACTATCTGCATCCAGGGCTGGTCATCCACAGGTAATTTTATAGATCCCCAATGAGTCCTCTGCAGGTAATCCTAAGCAACCCCATTCTCAATTTTGAATGTGGCCTAATATTGTGCAGAGGTTGTCACTTAATAAGCAGATCTTAGTGGACAACAGTATAAAGGGGAAAAAAATAGATAATTTTTACAAATTTTTTTGCTTCTTTTGAATTTCCTGCATAAATTGATGCTCAGGTGTTTTAAAATTGCAATTTTACTGCAAAGCTGAACTTAAGACAAACTGCTAAATACTCAGATAAAATGTATATATTGGAGCTGATTTACCTGCCATAGGATTTGTATTTCTGTTGATCCAGTCCTGAGGTTTATATTGCTCTGAAGCACAGCCCTGCCTGGCAGGGCAGAGAACAAGATTTTTTTCTGCTGCAGTTCAGTAACACTTGCAGGTCTTTTTCCTTCCCATGACTTTAATTGGATATTGAAAGGAGAAACTATAGTTTGCTTAGCCCATTTCTCTGTCACTCTTCTCTCTCCTATCGGCATGTTTCTTGTTAGCATATGAGTTCACCTGATTGCCCCCTTGTGCTGCTTCTCCCTCTCCTATCCTGAGTTCTGTCATATAGCAAAAGGCTGATACCAAATCAGATTCAGGCACTGACCAAATAAAAAAAAAATAAAAAATTCAGTGATGTAAATACAGAGTTTCATTAATTTTGTGTTTTTAAATTAAGCAAGCAGAATTTTGTTATTCAGTCAGAATAAAGTTATTTTTGTATTTCCGTTCTCTACACTGGTTTCCTTCTCACAAGGTGCTACCTTTTATTTACAGGTATTGATTTGGAGAACATCGTCTATTATAAAGATGACACACACTACTTTGTCATGACAGCTAAGAAGCAGAGTCTGCTGGAGAAAGGGGTCATCTTACAGGTAACATCAGGCTGAATCCCATCCATTCATTATTGCAGCATAATAGCGAGCAAGATGACAGCCTTGGAACCAGTATAGAGCTTGTACAGCAGACAGTGGCCTCTTCCAACAGGGGATTGCTCTACAGACAGGTTTTCTTTTTCAGAATGAATGAAAGTGAAAATGGTACAATATCCATATGATTTTTGAGTTCCCTGTTTATTCTAAGTATTGCTTTTATATATGTTGATTGAGAGTACCCAAGCCACCTTTCAAGCTTTGAGTGCTATTACCGAACTCTTCAAATATATATATAAATAAAATATATATATATATAACAAAGGGTTCTTGGAGACTTATGGCTTAGCTAAGGAAGGAGGCACAGCAGATGCAGCTTTTAGGCTGACTATGACTGATTGAACAATTGTATTTGAACCGTCTGTAAGAGAAGAGTGACTGCTTGTGTTGCCCAGTTCAGCCTGTTTTTATTTCGTAATGGATAGATTTTTAAAGTGTGAGAACCCCCTTCAGATTATTGCATAGAGGACAAATAGGAAAGTGTCAGAGAAGATGGTGTTTTATTATAAATACAAACTCTGAAGTGTTCCTGATGGGCAGTTTTTTATAGATCTTTTAATGGGGTGGAATTTTATATTCTAGTCCTGCCTATATAAAAAAAAAAGGAGAAATCTGCTATACATTCCTCTTTAAAGCCAAACTCCAGTCCTAAGTCTTGCACAGTTGTACAGGCTCCACCCTTGTATTGAGATTACTTACTCTGATTTCACAGCACACTTTGAGCTCCTAACAATGTGCATTAAACCGACTGCAGTGACTGGCTGAATTTTGATCCATTTATGGGCAGGCTGGTTGTACAGAAGTTGATTTGCCAATCGACTTCTGTTCAACCACCGTTCAGGTTTTTCGTAATGCAGCAATGCCGGTGGCTATAGCCGACAACACTGATCAGTGTATTCTGATGGTGCGGCAGTCTTCCCACTGTCAGCATTCCCTCATCCACACTTTTTTTTTTTTTTTTTTTTATTTTTTTTTTTTTGGTTCAACCGCTAGTTAAATGAGCAAAAATGACTAAGGTATGGACTGTCTTATATGATTCAGCAAGGTAGATAGAACCCACCTCATTTCCTTGCTAGAGGATGTCCAGCAGCATCTAGCTCTTTCCTCCCCAGTTTTACTTTCCCTGCCTGTCCCTTTTTTATTTTATTTATTTTATATAATCAGCCTGCCCCTTAATTTTTTTTTTTTTTAATTTCAGTTCTTTCAGTCTTAGAGGCTCAGCATCACAGGTGGGTGTTACCTAGGGTAATCTGCATGCAAATACAGTCTGCCTAGGAACACCCACTCCAGACTGACATCCACCTAATAATGCTTTTTGATATTTCCATAACTCCTCCCAAGAACAAACACTGCTTACATCAGGGGTCTTGAGGAATACTGTGATTTGTGTACAGCTCCCTGCTGACCCCTCCCACCAGAAGCACAGAAACTCAGCGATGACATCACTTAGTCTAAAATGAGGCATGCAAAATGGAAGAGGTTAAAAAAAAAAAAAAAAAAAAAAAAAAAAAGGTAGAGTGCTGGTTTAAAGAATGTAGCATGAAGTCTTCAACAGTGCAAGATTGTTATTCATCTCTATCAAATGTGATTTCCTCTTCTGGCACTGCTTCCCTTCCTACCGGCTCTAGCATCCGGATGGCAGATGGGTGACCTGCTCTGCAGTTATTAAATCCAGACATTCAATGGTAGACTTCAGCATGTAGTAACCTCATCTGACCTGTTACCAAAAGTAACACTGCACCCTTTTATAAATATCTTTCCTGCTTGGGGGAAGTTGGGTAGGGGAAATTTGGGGGGGGGGGGGCCTACCCAATGGAAACAAGTGACTTAAAAAAAAAAAAAAAAATTGTCACTGCCTCAAAGATGCTAAACTATAAGTGCTCACACACACAGGTGCTGGTGCATAGTTTATTTCATTTATTTCAGGTACTTATATAGCACCGTCCATTTACGCAGTGCTTTACATATATATTATACATTCACATCAGTCCCTAACCTTCAAGGGGTGTACAATCTAAGGTGTAGTTGTGCTCATAGGACTATATTGACAAAATACGGTATGCTGATATCGGCATGTAAATGCTGCTATTTGCATATGTGTTTGGGCGTAAATTCCTGAATATGGAAGTATTGTCCTTGTAGAAAGCTTGTGGCGCTGCTCAAAACTGGACATTCCCCAGGAGTCCAATGGAAAGGACGTAAGCTCTAACTGGCCTCAGCCGTCACTCTGGCCACATCCTCGGACGCCATTGCAGCTTGGCCGTTCAAACGACTGGAGGAGTCCGTGAACCTTGAAGGAAGACTGGGTGTAGATGGATTCCCTGCCAGCAGTGACAGCGTACTGCTGGAGGGATCCATTTCACAGGTAAGTTTTGTCATAATGTGCTAGTATGTGATGCAAACTAGCAAACTGTGACATGAGCCCAGGTCACTTCTCACTGGAGCTACACATCACTTGGCCTGGCCCTGGGATTTAGCATCTGAGTGGGCAGGACTGTGTACAGTGGATCAGAAGTGTTCTACATTCAGGCTTCTGACTGCACACCCACATCACTGTGCCCTGCTCTGCTGCGCCTTATTTTATATGTCAGCACATTGTCCATTATTGTATGTGGATGAGGAGAGCTTACTCTGAGCCTAAACTTCATTTGCATAGTCTGCACATCTGGTATATCAGTGAAAGTATGCAGTCATAGGAGGCAGGACAGTCATAGGAGGCAGGACAGTCATAGGAGGCAGGACAGTCATAGGAGGCAGGACAGTCAGGAGGCAGGACAGAGCATGAATCTGCTGACCCACCATTCTACCTACACAGCACAGAGTCTGACTCCTGAGACCACATATTGCTACGTACTTACATCACCACTGGTGGCCAGGGAGATGGAGAGCATAGCAGCTGCCAGTCTTGTGAACTGGATATGAGGGGAACAGAGGGTTTTTCAGTGAACAAAGAAGGCTGCGTTTCCGACAGGCATGAGGACTGTACACTGTAACACCAAGAAATTATAAAGGTATAAAAGCACTGTATACTGTACATATACATCTTGACCTTTTTGCCCAGGGTTCAGCTTTAACCTTTATGCACCTCCAGGTGTGTGGAAATTAAACAAAAAAAAACTACTTGTGCAAGGGACGCAATTGGAGTCCCAATTTATTTGTTCCTCATGACCATCTTCTTGCCCCAATTTAAAAAAAAAAAAAAAATGTTTTGTCAGAATGGAAAATATGAAGGGTTGATGTTTTATTAGGCAGAGGTGCTTTTAGGAATGTCTGGGGATTTTAAAAATGAAGGCGGCTTTATAGCAAGTTAAACTTTTTTTGGAAAATTTCTTAGAACCTCCAAACAGGGCAGAAGCCCTAGAAGATAAATTGGTGGGTGTTTGCAGTTTATGTATGTCACACGGTATTTGCACAGCGGTTTTTCAAACACCATTAAAAAAGTAAAAAAAAAAAAAAAAACACCTTTTTTAAAAGTAATGAAAAAAATATACGTATAAACCATTTTTTTTTTTTTTTTTTTTTTTAAATATGATGTTACGGCGAGTACTAAACCTATCACGCTTTAAAATTGCCCATGTAATGGCAACAAACAACATAAGTTTTACTATCCATAGGTGACTCTTTTAAAAGCCTTTACAGGTTGTCACTTTAGACCAGCGGTTCTCAACCTGGGGGTCGAACGACCATTTCCCAGGGGTCGCCTAAGACCATCGGAAAACACATATTTCCGATGGTCTTAGGAACGAGACACCGCTGCTGTCTCCGGCGATGTGTGGGCGGGATGATACGCTGCTCCTGTCACCTCCGGGATCGCTCAGCAGCTCCGCCTCCTCGCCGCTGATTGGCCGCCGGAACTGTAGCTCAGGAGAGGCACACAGGCGGCCAATCACCGGCGAGGAGGTGGAGCTTGGAGAGGAGGAGCCGAGCGGCAGCGCGCGGAGATCGAAGAAGACCGAGGGAGCTGCCGGAGCGAGTGAAGAGGAGAGCGGCCAGAGAAGGAAGACAGCTGACAGGTAAGTGAGAGAGCGAGCCCAGGCTAGCAGGGGTCAGCAAAGTAAGTATCATTGGTGTCAGTGGGAGGAATAGTTTTTGTGTCACTAATACCAACGATGGGGCACTATTCCTTTTTGGGGCACTATTCCTCCCCCCACTGACACCAACGATGGGGCACTATTCCTCCCCCCCCCACTGACACCAACGATGGGGCACTATTCCTCCCCCCACTGACACCAACGATGGGGCACTATTCCTCCCCCCACTGACACCAACGATGGGGCACTATTCCTCCCCCCACTGACACCAACGATGGGGCACTATTCCTCCCCCCACTGACACCAACGATGGGGCACTATTCCTCCCCCCACTGACACCAACGATGGGGCACTATTCCTCCCCCCACTGACACCAACGATGGGGCACTATTCCTCCCCCCACTGACACCAACGATGGGGCACTATTCCTCCCCCCACTGACACCAACGATGGGGCACTATTCATCCCACTGCAAAATTACAGTTATGAAGTAGCAATGAAAATAATTTTATGGTTGGGGGTCACCACAACATGAGGAACTGTATTAAGGGTCGCGGCATTAGAAAGGTTGAGAACCACTGCTTTAGACACAGGTCTGGAGCTATAATTACTGCCCATGATCTGACGTTCACGGTGATACCTCACATGTGCGGAATTATTGCTGTGAGAGACCACTGCATGCGATCGCCTGTGCATTCGAGCACGGGGGTGCTTTAAAAAAAAAAAAAATTTTTTTTTTTTTTTTTTTTTTTTTACACTATCACTTTAATTTTTTTTAAATCACTTTTATTGCTGTCACAAGGAATGTAAACCTCCCTTGTGACAGCAATAGGCAGTTACAGGTACTCTTTATGGAGAGATCTGGGGACTTATTGACTGTGCCCTTAAATGCATTTGATCACACCAAGATCTGTGTGATCAAATGCTTTCCATTTTTAAAAATAGTGCCATTTACATCTGGGGAAACCAGAAGTGATGTATGCTAGATCAGAGGCAGACAGCGGTTCCAGTCTTTGTCCACCTCCTATAATTTCCCACTGCTTGTAAAAGCGATCCAGTGGCTAGTTAGTTGCTTGGATTGCTTTTACAAGAGAGCAGACCGTTTGGCTTTCAAGCCTGCTGCTTGCCCGCAGCAGGACTAAATGTAAAAAAACAAAAACTCTTGCTTGGCGCCCGGAACTGCATGTCCTGGTTGTTGGGCGATAGGAATTGCACATCCCTTACCTCTTTGGAATCACGTTCAATGTTTAGGTTGTGCACACACACAGTATGTTAAATTATTTATGCCATTGGTAGATGGGGTACTGGAGAGATGGGCATGCTTGTATTTTCGATAGATAATATATAAATATGATTTGATTGTTTTAAAATTAAGTTCTGTATTTTTACTTACTCTCTCAAAGTTAAAAAGTTAAACTGAACTCAAAACTATAATAGATTCTGTTCAAAACATGCAAAATTCTTTAGCTGCTGATAAAGGAAAGAATTTGTAGTACAGTTGGCATATGATTTTTCACGATCTTGACTGCAGAACATGCTGTGTTTTTTTGCGTGCTCTGGTATACCTCTCACCTGCTGTTTCATTGCCACCTCTACAGGACTACGCCGACACGGAGATGCTGCTTTCACGTGCCAACGTGGACCAGGAGGCACTGCTGAATTATGCCACAGAGGCTGCTCGCTTCTCTACCAATCAGCAGCTGCCCACCCTGGACTTTGCCATCAATCATTATGGGCAGCCAGACGTAGCTATGTTCGATTTCACCTGCATGTATGCCTCAGAGAATGCTGCACTGGTGAGGGAGAGAAACAGTCATCGGCTGCTTGTGGCACTGGTTGGCGACAGCCTTTTAGAGGTCAGTAGATCATGGTGGACAGTTTGTGCTCTTAGAAAATTTTAATACTATCTTTCAGCCAATCACCTCTTGTCTCTGAATTTTTTGCAAGTTTTACATGATGTATTACGACTTGCAGTAGGGCAGGGTTCAATTTAAAGGTTTTCTCAAGTTACATGTGAAAATTTAACATGTCATGTCTGATTTGGGAGAGGATTTTCATCCTGTGCACCTGGATAGCTTCATCCCTATTACCCTCATATCTTAATCCCTTTATCACTGCCCAACACTTCTGGCAGCAAAAGGGTGAACTTTTAACGCCCACACGCCACACATATGTGTCGCTAAGTAGCCAGTGTTTATGTGCTCAGAGCGTGCTCAATGCACACTCTCAGCACAAAGACTGAGCTGTCCCAATTCTTGATCCAGGTTACAGATCTGTAGCTGGTGGGACCTGCTTCCGATCATGAAACTACCGTGACGGTGGTCATGTGATCGCGGATCCTTCTTGCTCCTGGGCATTTCAAATTGTTTAAAGGAAGGTTAGGCAGGGGTTTAATTGTACAGTACAGAACACAAAGGTGGGGAACCATATTCTGACCCCACGCTGTTGGGATGACCTGTAATGTTGCTTCAGGCACTGGCTATTGCTTGGGTATCACCTTTTGCACTGAATACAATGCGTGTAGTTAGCTGCAGGGTGCTATACAAGTCAACAGTCCATTCTCTGACACTGAAGAGCTTTCTGGGAAGGGTTCAGCCTAAACCCATACAGTGACAAGGTTTGTCCTTTTATTGAACTGTTGCTGTAGCCTTCTAGCAAGTGTGAAACTTTAAGATCTTCACTACTTGCAGTACCATGATTAGTGTCTCCTGGATTGTGTTTTTTTTTTTTTTTTTTATGTTAAAAACAATCAGGAAATCTGGAATTGTGTTTTGACTTTATTCAATATGGAGTGTTTAAACTTTCAAACTTGGCAATAACTTTCTATCATCCCACCACAGGGCACACTATTACCACCAACTCCCGCCCATAATTGATAAGGTACGCAAGCACTTCCTCGTGCCTTTTGTCTTGAGGACTTTGCTGCAGGACGGTTGACATTTGGGTTGCTGTGTATCCTCTGGATATGCTTACCCCATTTCTGCACCCACTCTGTGAGTACCCCACAGGGGAATTTCCTCACTGATTGCAATGGCGGGAACCATGGCAAAAGCTCAGGAAAACATTTTGTCCTGCCGATGATTGCAAAGTATTTGCTGACAGTAATGTTGCTTCCCTTGCAGCAGAGAAGGACCCCATTTTAGCACCAGTCTCTGCATCTGAATCTAGCTCTATCTAAAGCATGCAACCAGCAGCCTATCTGACCAATCTGACAATACAGCCAACTAGGTCCAGAATTTCTCAAATAATGAATGCCCTTAATACAGCGATCCCTGTCCAGGGCCCAGAAGTACCAGGGTTCTTCCCTACCTCCATATTCTCTACCCGATTCGGAAGTGGAACTACCTCATGTAGAAATGGTGGACGTGGGAAAACTTTGACGAAGACCCCTAGGCGGTGTTTGGATGTGGCTGTGGTAGATTTTTCACCTCCAGACTTGTAAATGCTTTGCGCAATATACTTGCCAATGTAACTGCTATTTGCAAGAGGTTTGGTATATTCACGCTTTATTCTCTTCTGTGTCGACATGCCCCTCTGGATACTAAATGACCTGCAAAGTTTAAAAGTCCTTTCCCATTCGTGAACAAACAGAATGGGCAGTATATGATGGCTGGGTATCTCCTGAAAAGGTTTTTGCTCCAAAAATTGCTTCGCTATATCCAGGGGAAAAAGAACTCACTAAAAAATAGTGGTGCACCGAATTTAAAATTCTGGACCGAAACCAAAATTTTGTTTTTATATATATTTGTATTATATTTGACTTTTTAATTAATATCATGAATTTAAAGTGTTACTTAAACCCATGACCCTGCATTCACCATATTAGGTCTCCCACAGTACACAGAACATGGAAATGCTATTATTTTAGTAAATATAAACTGCTAAATACCTTTTCTCATCAGCAGTTAGAACAGTCTTGTGACTTCTATCAGTGTCCAGCAGAGCATTGGTTAAAGTTTGTAGGAGGAGTTTTCACTCTCCCCTGATTGTCCTATGAGACTGCAGGACCTCTGACTCTCTGGCTGGACAGTGCTGATTGGCCCTGTGCTGATCACATGCACCCTCCCAAGAAAATAAAAACTCTCTAGCAATTCTCACCAAACTGAGCATGTGCAGCTTGTCCCCGAGGCTTTGCTCTATCAGCAGATAGATCGGAAACATTAGAAGAAGGGGAGGATCAGAGAAGACGGGGTCAAACATTTTTTTTACACAATGCAGAGGATTAACCCAGTTGACTGTTCTGGTAGTAGACTCTGCAGTCTTAACCACTTCCAGCCACTTCTGGGCCAATTCAGACATTCCTCTTCTACATGTAAAAAAAAACATCTTTTCCTTTTTTTTTTTTTTTTTTCATGATAGAAAACTACTTGGAACCCCCAGACATAGTATATTCTTTTTTTTTTTTTTTTTTTTTTTTTTTTAAGCAGTGACCCTAGGGAATAAAATGATGGGTGTTGCATATTTTTATTTTTATGTCACACTGCATGTGCACAGTGGTTTTTCAAACATTATTTTTTGAAATACACTAATGATTTTTAATCCACAAAAACACAATATAATACCCAATTTTTTGTAAAATAAAAAAGATGTTACGTCGAGTAATTGGATATCAAACATGTCAAGCTTTAAAATTGTGTTAGTCCACGGAATGACGCCATACTAATTTCCATATTGGCTCGAAGGTCAGCTGCCTCTAAAAGATGCCTTGCTTGTATGCCCTTTGAAGGAAGATGTCTCTTTGGTAAGGTACTTGACAAATTCATAAGATGTCGCAGAAGGGGAAAGTCTATTTCCCACAGCAAAAGGCTCCAAATCCAACCCCCCCCCCCCCCCCAAGTGCTTTGTACCTCCTCAAAACACCACTCCGCTCTCCAAGTTAAAATTCAGCTCTTCCTTTAGGTGCAAGATATGTAACACACAGCCCACCGTATCTGCCGCATAGAATTCTTCACAATGCAGGGGCACCTGCACCTCTAAGTCTAAGCTACTTCTGCTACAGTTTGCAGTTTGCATTCATTTGGGCCACAGATGTCCCAGACCTATGGGTTCATTCGGTGCTTTCAAAGGGGTGCAGAAAGAGTTCCAGACGCTACCCCCTTGTTTTCTTCTCTCAAGTCAACCACAATATGCCCAAGGACATTCTGATTTACAAACTGGCCTGAACCATCTTATCCCAGGAGTGGTTGTTTTGGTCCCCCTGGAGGTCAGGTTCAAAGGATTCTTTTCAACCCTGTTCAATGTAGCAAAACCCAGTCAAGGTTTTTGTCCTATCCTTGACCTAAAATTCCTAATCAAGTACCTTTTTATGCATTCACAAGTTAGGTACAGAATCCACAAGTCCAAGTATTTCCCCTCCGAGAAGAGAGGAAAACCTTGCATCATACATTAGATACTTACCTCCATATTCCCATTTACCCACCTCATCTGAGCTTTCTGCACTTCACCGTAGGAGATAAATACTTCCAATTTTCCACACCACTGTTCAACCTATCCTTTGCACCCAGAGCATATTTAAAGAGGCTTGCACCCTTACTCATCCTCTTAAGAGCTCAGGACATCCAGTTTACCAGGTACCTAGACAACCGTCTGTTTGAAATAGTCCAGAGGACTATCCAGACTTTAGGTTGGACCTTAGATCAAAAAGACACCCCTCTGAGATCTCGATGAGCGTTCTAGGCCTTATGCATGACTCATTCAAAGCTGTTCCCTTTGCTCAGTTACAATCAAGGCCCCTCCCACACAACATTCTATTCGCCTGTAACAAACACTCTCCATCTCTTGAACTCCCCTTGCTTCTCTACAGCCAAGCAAGGAACTCTCCAGATTGGGGGATTACCAATCCATCATGGCAGGTGATGACAACAGATGCCAGTTTCACAGCCTGGGGAGGTGTGTTTCATTATCTCACAGTTCAGGGCAGCAAGCTTCTCCAGGGACATCCAATTAGGGTGCAATCAGTCAAAACCAAGGCAGTGGCCTAGATCAATCACCAGGGGGGAACCAGGAGTCTGGCAGCCTTAAAGAAAGCAAGTCTGAGCATATCTTGCGTCAAAATGCACTGCCCAGCAAAATTTGCTGTTATCCCGGGAGTGGACAATTGGAAGGTGGATTTTCCATTACCGCCTAGACCAAGGGTCTCCAAACTTAAAAACAAAGGACCAGTTTACTGCTCTATAGACTTTGAGGGGTCGGAACTGTGGTATTAGGGAGTAGTGGGAGTAGAAAATGGTATCAGTGGAAAGAATAGTGCCCCGTCTTTGGTGTCCGTGGAAGATTAGTGCTGCTTTGTTGCTGTCAGTAGGAGGAATGGTGCTCCATTGTTGGTGACAGTGGAAGGAATAGTTCCTCATCTTTAGTCTTAGGAATAGTGTCTCATATCACATTCAGATTAGGGCTATTTGGAATTGCGGGCAGAATCGCTGAGATTCTGCCCCCCCAATTCCAAATCACAGCAAAACGTGTGTTTGAATGGCAGCCCACACACAGCTGCGTGACAAAACATGCAAATCACTACTGCTCTGGGCCACAATTTGGAGCGACAGTCATGCATTTCTGCATGAGAATTGCGCTAACCAAATCGCGAGAGGGAATGCAAGTTCCCACTACGCGTAGTGTGAATGGGGCCTAATGATGACCTTGTCGTGCTTTCCTTGTGCTCCGCTCCCATGCATCCCAAGAATTACATGTACAAGTTCAGTCTGGGTCCCTCGCCGCTGCTATTCCTTGCTTTGGGGATTGCCAGTCCAGACGTGCGATTATCCCTCTCTATCCAGTCCCTTGCCATACCCGCATGATGACTTTCCTGCTCTTCTGGATCCTGGGAGGCCCCTGACACTAGATAGCTAATAGGAAATGTCCACATCATGCAGTCAGTGATGTGAACACCCAAAGATTGACACTGCTGAAAGAAAATAGAATCAAAGTGAATGCTTAGGATCTGAAAGTCATGTGGCTGCTGGTTTGGGTAAGTATAGTATTTATAAGGGTACAAGGGTGTTGTGTTTTTTTTGTTTTGTTTTTATTTATTTTTTTTTTTCCCCAGATACATTACACATCAAACCCACCCTATCCCTCTAGTCTAAAAAAAAAAAAAAAAAAAAAAGTATTTCATATAATGCACACAGACATATGTATCCCCTAACTTTTTTTATATTCTTTTAGTCCATCACCATTCTTTTGCGTCTTCATTTGAGGGGAGTTTCTCTTAATATCGGAGTGACTACTCAACTTCTTACTCTTTCTTCAACAGCCTTTTTGGCCAATGGGAACTGGCATCGCTCGAGGTTTCCTGGCTGCCATGGATTCAGCCTGGATGGTACGTAGCTGGGCACAAGGAGCCAGTCCGCTGGAAGTGCTGGCTGAGAGGTAAGGCTTCGCAAGCAGAATTGATGGCTGCCAATGGTTAGGTATGCCCAATGTTCATCAGTATGGCCACAGCTAACACAATTGTGACTCCAGTATTGGGCCTACATGCTCTGCATTTCTGCTAGACCAGAAAGAATGTACAAACTCATTTTTTACCTTGGATGTATCATCTGGACTACTGTATCACTGATGGGCACCTCTAATTGTTCTTGATTTCAGGGAGAGTATTTATAGGCTCCTTCCTCAGACTACACCAGAGAATGTCAGCAAAAACTTTAACCAGTACAGCATTGACCCAACCACCCGTTATCCCAATGTCAACCTGCAGTTTCTGCGACCCAGCCAGGTAAGTAACTTTCAGATTTCTGTGTCTGGTCTGATCAATTCATCTTCAAAATAATTTTGCCCCAGAAGCAAGAGCAGTGTATTTCAGGAGAGGTGAGGTAAAGTAAGGAGCAGAGTCCTGTAGCAGTGCAGAATATTTCAGCAGATAGCTCTCCAGGAGATCAGAGTATTTTAGGAGGCAAAAGTTAGGGGAGGGTAAGTTGGGAGTAGTGATGAACTACTATGTAACACAGACCTGGGCAAACTGCAGACCAAGGTCCACATCCAGCCCTCAATGTCTCCACTGTCAGCCTGCCTCTCTGAGCCTATCTGAGCCTCCCAGCTACCTCGGTGAAGAAGCAAAGAGGTATGCTGATAGATGTCTAAGTGAAGAACTGCAAAAATTGTAAGGCGAGAGCCTTAGGAGCTGATTGGCACAGCAGGATGTCTGGCCAGAGAGCCTTCCCTAGGGGGTGTCCTGACACTCTCCAGTCACGCTGCTATCTGGCCAGGTTTTTCCTGTGTTAGTGCCTGCACACTGTAAAACCCAGGAGCCATGCACCTATTCTTCACTCCAAGTCAGCATCTGCAGAAGTCCCCACTGTACTGATCTTATGCTCTCGCCAATTGCTGTTTTTCAGAGGGCATTTGATGCCCATTTTAAAGAGACTTATTTCATGAGCAGTTGTACCTATTATTCCTAGCACCAGGTGTTTCTTTTCTATATCTCTATGTACTTACGGATCTTCCCAGGTCTAAAGTTAATCTTTAAAGGAATGAAGTGCTGCCCTCTACAACAGTCCCAATCATGTGGCCCCTTGGGAAAATTATTTGCCTGCCACTGGTGTTTCACATGCTGTGAATATCCAGTGTTGCTTATTTCTTGTCTCTTGTCCCTCCACTCAGGTGCGACACTTGTACAACACGACAGAAATGAAGGATCCTAACCTGGAAATAAGCAATCTTGTTAATGCACAAAGAACACCAAAACTTGGCAGAAATGGTAACTGTCTAACCCTTTTCTTACTGACATTTGTATCTGATTTGGGAGTTTCGGTTCTGCTAATTTTCTTTAGCTGATGGTGATATAAATCGTTTTTTTTTTCTCTCTCTCATCCATTGCAGAACACAATGTTACAGTCATAGTTGTATTTTTGAGGAATAATTTAATTATTGAACAACTACACTGTTCTCGGTTAATCCAAAATGTTAATAAACCTCAAACCTGAATATCTAAAAGTACAAGTGAGGTTTTGGCTTTCTTAGGAGAATATCTATGTGTGCACATTTATTTGGTAACTATTAGTGTGCAGAATTATTATTCAAAAATGAAAAACAAACATTTTCCCATCTCACTTTGTTTATTTTCATCTGTTAAAATTAGAAAAATAACTCATAATTTACAAATATTTCTGACATTTCACAAAAACAAAAATCAGTGACCAATAGCCATTTTTCTTTTCAGTAACTGACAGACTCCATAAATGGAAGGCTTATGACTGTTTATTGATCTGTTGACAACTTTTTTTTTTTTTGTGCAGCAGCAACCACAGCCTCCCAGACACTGTTCAGAGAGGTGTACTATTTTTCTTTACCGTAATATTTTCTTTTAAGAAGGGCCCACAAGTTGGTGAGGAAGGGGGCCATGTCATTATTCTTTTATCGCCTTTACTGACTAGCCACGCAGCAGAGTACTTCAATGCATGTGATATAGCATTGTCCTGCATAATTATCATGATCGTCTTGAAAGATGCAGACTCTTTCCTGTACCACTGCTTGAATTAAGTGTCTTCTAAAAACTGGCAGTAGGTTTAGGAGTTGAGGTTGAGTCCATCTTTAACCCAAAAAGGTCCAACTAGCTCATCCTTAATAATACCAGTTTCCCACCTCCACCTTTTTAGCGTCTGAGTCAAAGTGGAGCTCTTTGCCCATAATGCCAGTCACGAGCCCATCGAACTGGTCAACAGTCACTTTCATCTCATCAGTCCATAAAACCTTTGAAAAATCTGTCTTCAGATATTTCTTGGCCCATTCTTGACGTTTCACCTTTGTTTCTTGTTCAGTGGTGGTCAGGTTTCAGCCTTCCTTACCCTGGCCATGTCTCTGAGCACTGAACACCTTGTACTTCTGGGCACTCCATGAGGATAATGGGTCCCTGGTAGCTTCACGTTTGATTTTTATCAAATCTTTGGCAGTTAATTTTTGTCTTTTTTTTTTTTCTTTTCCTTTTTTCCCTCAACACATTTCTTGCAACCCTGTAGACTTTTTGCAACAAAACGTTTGAAAGTCTTTTTATAATTTTTTTACTTTTCAGAGTTGGTTAAATCTCTTATTGGCCCATTTTGCCTGAAGATAAAAAGCTGACTAATAATTATGCACACCTTGATATAGTTTGATCTCCTTGGGCCACACCCTCCCACATTACACAAATACACATCATCTGAGATGCTTAAATCCAATAAGCATTCAAGTTTATACAGCTTGGAGTTGGCCAATATGCATAAAAATGATGAAATCACTTGCATAATAATTGTGCACACCTTGTAATCCTCAAAAAATTTGATTTTTTTTTATATACTTACCTGTAAAATCCATTTCTTGGAGTACATCACGGGACACAGAGCAGGCCATAATAATGACTATATGGGTTATATGCCACCTATAGGTGAATGACCACTGGCCGACCAAGCAGGAAGTCCTCCCCCATATAATGCCTTCTACACAAAGTATTCAGTTTTTGTAGCAAGGAATGAAAATCCAGAAAGAAGGGAGGGACCTCTGTGTCCCCTTATGTACTCCAAGAAATGGATTTTACAGGTAAGTATGTAGAAAAAAAAATCCAATTTTCTTTCTCGTACATTGAGGGACACAGAGCAGGCCATAATAATGACTGTGTGGGATAACCTTGCAACAAAGCAATAACCTTGAGAGGTAGGTGGCATCACAATAATCACCACCAACATCCCAAAAAGGAGCTATTTAGCTGTATATAAAACACTGCGACCAAAGGCAGAATCCTCTGTGGCTCTGACATCCATCTGGTAAAACCTTGTGATTGTATGAACCGAAGACCTTGTAGCAGCCTTACAAACCTGAGCAACTGACGCCTGTGGTGGATAGCCCAATATGCCCCCATACTCCTGGTAGCGTGTGCTTTCACCCGAAAGAGTGGAACCTTGCTCTTCAAACCATAGGCTTGAATGATTAACTGACAAATCCACTTAGAAATAGTTCATTTGGATGCCGCCTGTCCTTTCCTGGGACCTTCTGTCAAAACAAACAAGGAATCTGCCTTTCTAATCTGCGCCGCCATTTTCAAAAGGATCCTTATTAACTAAATCTAGGGCAGGCATAGATCTTTCTTTTTGCCAAATGAGGCCTAGGAAAGAATGAAGGCAGAACAATGTCCTGATTTGAGATGAAAACTGGAAACCATCTTTGGCAAAAAGGATGGATGAGGCCGTAACACCACCTTATCCTAGTTAGCAGAACTAACGAAATCTCCCTGATAGGTTCCAATGGTGGTCTCTGTAAAACTGCCAAGACCAAGTCCCAAGGACACAGGGGTTGTCTGACAGGAGGAACAGTACACATCGCTCCCTGTAAAAAAAAAAAAAAAAAAAAAAAAAAAGAAAAGTATGCACCAAAGAGTGAGAAGCAATCGATCTTTGGAAGAAACCAGCCAAGGCTGAAACCTGACCCTTAATAGTACCAACAGCCAACTACTTTCCTACTCCTCATTGGGAGAATTTTGTCTTTTTTCTCCAATCAAATATTTCCAGGGCTGCTAATTTCAACCCTCACACCAAGAAATATATGCCTTCTAAATTCTATAATAAATGTTCCTAGAAACCAGCTTCCTAGCATTCAACATTGTGTAGATAACCGAGTCTGACACTCAATTGTCTTTCAAGATTTGGGTCTCAACAGCCATGCCGTTGAATTCAGAGACTATAAAGCTGGATGTAATATAGGTCCGACCGATCTGGCAGAGGCCATGGATCGCCTACTGCTAGTCTGATAATGACCACATACCAACATCTCCTGTGCCAGGCTGGTGCCACTAACATCACTGGAATCCCCTTGTCTTGAATCCTGCGTAATAGTTGCAGGAGTAGCTTAATCGGGAAGGGGGGGGGGGGGGCATAGATTATGGAAAACTGATCTCACAGTATCACAAAGACATCTACCCCGATCGTAAGAGAGTCCTGCATCCTGAACACAAACCTGTCCACCTTACTGTTGAACCTGGATGCCAATAGATCTACGTCCGAGTGCCCCCAACGCCTGCAGATTTCTGAGAACACCTCAGGATGCAGAGACCATTCCCCTGGAAACAACCACTGATGGCTGAGGTAGTCTGCCTTCCAATTCTCTATCCCTGGAATGAATACTGCTGCCAGAACTGGATCATGCCCTTCTGCCTAAGCCAAAATGTAATCTACCTCCTCCTGAGCCCTCGGCTCTTGGTACCGCCTTGGTGGTCGATGTATGCCACTGCTGTAGCATTGTCGGACTGAACCCTGACTGGCCATCCAATATCTCACGGCAAGCTGCACTGCCCAAAGCTTGAAAAATGTAAGTCCTTTTTTTCCCCACAAATAGAGCTTTCTTTCAATGGTATTTGATTGCCTGTGTGTTTTTTTTTTTTTGTTTTTTTTTTTTTTTTTTTTTTTTTTTTTTTTTTTTGCGCTGTAAGAAAAAAAAACAGCCAATTTTGAGAAAAAAACAATATTTTTGACTTTTTGCCATTAAACGTGTCCAGTAAAAAAAATTTAAAAACTCAAATTTTGTCATAAATTTAAAATAAAAATCCCAATACGTGTGAATTAACTGGTTTACGTGAAATTTATAGCTTTTAGAAATGGCGGTGTATATATACTGGGTTTTTTTTTTTTAATAGTAATGACGGAGATCAGTGACTTATAGCAGGACTGTGGCGGGCATTCTGACACTGGGGGGAATTGACTGTGTCACTGACCTTCCCAGTGACACCAATACAGTGATCAATGCTAATAAAAAGCACTAATGGCTTTGTGCAGGAAGAGGTTAATATGTGGGGCGATCAAAGGGTTAGCTGTGTGTGTTTTACTGTGGGGCTGTGTGTTTGTGCTTCACTGTAAGCACACGACTTTGCATGGCTGTGCAAGGCAGTGTGCAGGAGCTGACAGGACAGAGAACTAATAAAATATTTAAGCGAGCGCTAAGATATAAAAGCAGCTGAAAGGTCAACACTAAAAGGTAAAAACCATAAGCCTTCAGATAAATATATAAAATTAGTGCAGCGCTAAGAGATAATAAACCTTCTCATTGGCTTCCCATTGCCCAACGGATAAAATTCAAATCATTAACAATAACGTATAAAGCCATTTATAACTCTGCCCCAAATTAGATCAAAGTTCTTGTCTCTAAATATCACCCAAACCGTACTCTCCGCTCCTCGCAAGACCTCCTGCTCTCTAGCTCCCTTGTCTCCTCCTCCCATGCTCATCTCCAGGACTTTTCCAGAGCTTCCCCCGTCCTCTGGAACTCTCTACCCCCTATTTATCTGACTATCTCCTACTCTGCTCACTTTTAGGCGATCTCTGAAAACCTATCTCTTCAAGGAAGCCTATCCTGCCCTCAGCTAATAATGGAATCTTCTACTCTTCCAACCAGTCCATCCCCCACAGTTACTACCTTTCTGTACCACTAGCCCCTCCCTCCTAGATTGTAAGCTCCAAGGAGCAGGGCCCTCCTATCCCTCTTGTATTGAACTGTATTGTCTCTCCTGTTATATTGTGAAGTGCTGAGCAAACTGTTGGCGCCATATAAATCCTGTATAATAATAATAATAATAATAATAATAATAATAAAAAACCAGATTAATCCTTATAAAAAAAATGCACAGAGGTTGTGGGTGTGTTTTAAACCATACTGTAAATATGTAAACCATACTCACAGGCAAAGAGAATATCCCAACATATAAAATTGTGTCTAGTAAAAACACACACATTAAAGGTGCGTTTGAAGAATTTTATTGAAATTTTGACATTTATGACAAAGTGATCGCAAGGTAAGTGCGCTTATTCCCAGTATGTGAGAAATACTCGGGTGGGTGTGCTGATAAACAGATAAAATGCGCGCTCACCAGATGCGCATATATATATATATATATATATATATATATATATATATATATATATATATATATATATATATATATATATATATATATATAGCTCTTTGTATGGTATAAAGGTGGTCAGCCAAGGATCCCTTCTTAGGGTGGTCCGGGGTACAGCCTGGGGGTGGGTGGCCTTCCTTTAGGTTACAGGATAGTGGTAAGACAGGATATGTGAATCAACCTCTTCCAGGCACTGGGATGGTCACCGGGGATCACTGGGGAATTAAATTGCTTGATGCGGAGCTGTTCGCAACATCACATTGCCAAGTCATCAAAAAGACAGCACTGTAATCACCGGCTGGGACCCGGTGATTGACAGCCGTGGCCACGAATGGAGGCACGGATAGGGCGCACGCCCCCTACACAGGAATGCAAAATCATATACACTATATATATATGTGTGTGTGTGTATATTACTTGATTTTGTGCACTCGTGCCACCCTGTAGCAGTACTTCTGCTATAGGGTGGACGGGATTTGGTTAAGAAATGGGGAGGAGGTGGCACAAAAGCTCTGTCTGGATGCTCCCAGTCAGCATACATAACTTGCTCCAAAATAGGATGCACCGGAAATACCTGAATACTTTGCGGCGGCTTTAATGAGCCCAAAGAGGAATAAGTTTGCTGCATTTGGCTGAATCTGGGCTGACACTATATCTCCTAAACATTGCAGAATTCATCCGGCTGCTTCTGTCACATCATCAATAAACACCAATGACCCAGTGCCACTGGAAGCCATGCATGTCCATGCCATCACACTGCCTCCACCATGTTTTACAGATGACGTTGTGTGCTTTGGATCATGAGCTGTTCCAAGCCTTCTCCATACGTTTTTCTTCCTGTCAGTCAGATTAATCTTCGTTTCTTCCGTCCAAAGAATGCTTTTCCAGAACTGGTCTGGCTTTTTGGATGTTTTTTGGCAAAGACTAATCTGACTTTTCTATTCTTCAGGCTTATGAATGGTTTGCACCTTGTGGTGAACCCTCTGTATTTGCTCTTGTGAACTCTTCTAGATGTTGTGAATGGGTTTTTCTTCACCATAGAGAGGAACCTGCGATCATCCACCACTGTTTTCTTCCATGGACATCCATGCCTTTTTATGTTGCTGAGCTCACCAGTGCGTTCTTTCCTCAGAATGTACCAAACTGTTGATTTGGCCACTCCTAATGTTGCTGCTATCTCTCTGATGTATTTGTTTAATTTTTGAAGCCTTATGTTCTAAGGCTTCTTTCGATCGGGACCTTTCCCGATCATGTGACTACCGTGACGTCCTGTCACGGCGGTCACATGACTCTAACCCCCGCCTCCTGGCTTCTGAAACCCTTAAAGGGCAGGGAGGCGCCCAGCACCAAGGGGTTAAGAGGAATTTTGACTTCCCTGTAAATTTCACATCTTTGGAAAACTGTACAGGACACAAACCACCTTACCTGTATTTCCTTGATTTACCTTGCATTGTTTCCTACAAAATGGAGGATTTTCTGTGTGGAGTAGGGTTATAGGGGAGGCACCCGTGTTTTTTGTGTCCTCAACTTGCCAGTGTCCAGTCACCTGAAGGTACATGCCTATAACCTCTGTGGTGCATGACTGTTGCCTGTGTCCTGTACTGTACTTCAAAATATTTTGAATTCTTAAGCAAGACAAAATTCCTGTGTTTTTTTTTTTTTTTTTTTTTTTTTTTTTTTTCTTTGTCCTGATATACAGTTTGAAATGGTTCTCCATAGATCATCCAGTAGAGTGGTACCGAAGTTTTATGACCTGCAAATCCTGGGTTTAGTTATGTGAATAATATTTTTTTTCTCTATTGCAGAGTCAGTGGCTCGCTCCAGTAAGCTGTTGGGATGGTGTCAAAAGCAGACTGAAGGTTACGCTGGGGTCAACGTTTCTGACTTAACAATGTCCTGGAAAAGTGGTCTTGCGCTCTGTGCCATTATCCACCGCTATCGCCCGGAGCTCATGTAAGAACTATTCCTTTCTTGACAGATTGAGTTTTTCTTTTGATACTACTAGAGAAAATGTGGCTACAGGGTCCCATCTGTGCTGGCCACATGGCAAAAAGCCTAGGCTTTTGGTTAATATGATTTCCACTGAAGTGGAAGGATCGCCAGCAGAGAGAGCCTGACACCAACCAACACCCCCACCCCTCTCCACCCACCCGAGAGAGCCTTCAACTACCACCACCCTCCATACACCAGCCATCCCACCCCACCCCCAGCGAGAGAGAGAGAGACACTCGCGTTCAAAACTCCAGACATCCCCTGGAATGAGAGTCGGGCTCTGCATACACCATCAGGAAGCCTCTTTCGGATTCCACCTGGTCCCGATGCTGCGCATGTCCCTTCTTCTGTCTCTTCTTCCAGGGGGCAGGGCTGCCCCCCTGAAAAATGCCGCCCTAGGCAAATGCCTTGTTTGCCTTGTGGTAAATACACCACTGCCAGCCCCATCAACAAACCTCACATGACTATATGCCCAGGGTGTTTTGTTCTATAACAAGTTCTGGAGGGAGCCTTTTTCAAGAAATGTAGGCATTTCAGACATATTAAACTATTTTCCATGCTATCAAGACACTTGGAGGTCTGATTTAAAAATGTTTTCTCCCAAGATTTGTCTGGCTTTCACCAGGGATTCACATTTTCCCAATTAATTCCAGTTATAAGCAGTGTGAATCCTGGATAAAAGTTGCTTGAAAATTGTGTTAAAACATTATGAATAGACCTCTTAAATGTATGTAACAGTTTGGTTAGAGTAGAGAATGGTTAAAAACTCTTGTCAGTTTATTTTTTGCTGTCTGTCCTGTTGAAATTTGTGTTTTTTTTTTTAACTTTCTTTTTTTTTCCTTTTTAAAGCAAATCAACAGAAAGTAAGAAAAAATCTGTAGAAAGTGAGGGAAATTTATCCTATATGACATGATTTCTTGTCACCTCCCTGTTCTGGTGGCATCTTTAAACATCAGTAGTTACCAGGACAAACCGTGAATCTTTCCAGTGGGAAAAGAGACGGTCATTAAAACCTGACAAGGGTTTCAATCCCTCCCCACTCCATCCAAAACTGGAAAGAATAGTTTTGCTGATGCATGTAAATGGCAGATCTTCCTGTAGCCTAAAGAAGTTTCATGTGTGCAAAAAATGTCTGTGTGTACAGGCCCCTTGTTTTTGTGATTGTAAATTTTTTAATTCCCCATCAATTTCTTGATGATTAGGGACATCAGGACAAATGCAGAGAGTGAAACTACTCAGTGGGGTTCTGGGGTTATAATTATTCCTTACTTTAGCCAAAAAAAAAGTTTTGGCTGTTTATATACCTTTTAACCAATTGACCTCTGGAAGGTTTTACCCCCTTCATTTTTTTGCTATTCAGCACTGTGCTGCTCTAACTAGCATTTGCTCGGTCGTGCAACACTGTGCGCAATTGAAATATATATAATGTTTTTCACACAAATATAGCTTTCTTTTGGTGGTATTTAATCACCAGTGTGTGTTGGTTTTTTTTTTTTTGAGTCATGTGATGTGGTATGATATGGTGTGGGGGGGAATCAGGGATACTGACTGGTGACCGTATTGGAAAAAAATACATTTATAGTCATTTACATTTTTGCTTTTACATACTGTCAGAGTAGTTCAGTGTCACAATAGTGACACTGTACTACTCTGGGGGAAGGAGGGGAAAGGTGATCAGAGATTTCTTTTTTTCTTATACTGTGATTGCTTGTTACAGTGATGATCACTGTAACAGCAATCGTTTGAACTGTCAGGAATGACTTTCATTCAAGACTCGTTGTTTACTATTGTGATACTGTGATTGGCCACAGGTCTCACAGGGTGCTGTAATTGGCCCAGGTGCCATGTGATCACTGGTGACAAATCACAGATCACATACAGTAGTAAACAATGATGTCATAAATGGATTCCATTCATGACTGTTTACTAGGTGATGTGATCACACAGCGATCACATGATATCTGGGATGATCACAACAGCGCGATACCAAGGAGACGCTCGCAGTGGACATGAGTAGGGTGACATACAGGCAATTGCAGTACCTGCTCAAGCCACCGGCCAGCAGTACAATTACTGTTGGCAAGTGGTTATATGTAGCTTTATGATAACAATTAATTTATGGGTACACTTTTATTTTTTATTTTTTTAAATTATTTTTTCTGCACTTCAAGAAAGGTCTCATGTACAGGCAGTTCCACTAGTAGGTGGCGTATACATGCAGTAAGGGACAGTGAAATAAGTATAAAGAACAGACAGACTGACATCAGTTGCCAGACCAGCTCCAAGAGCTTATGTATATCAAGAATATGCTTTAATATTAATACAGAGGGTACACTTAAGTGGAACTCCAGGATTTGACTCTGCCACCTGGCTCTAGGTTCTGCTTAAAATCTTTTGCTCAGGATCCCTTTGGCCGCCCACACAGCATTAGGATGTTGCAATAGAATGTAGTACTACCTGTAGAATTTGCGCCTCTGCATTGTTGTCATCTTGTTGTATTTGGCAGTGGATCAGGGCTGTAATCAGACTAAACTGTGGATATAAAATGTTTGATTTTTTTTTTTTTTTTTTTTTTTATCTGTGAGAACAAATATCTGAGCACACAGAATGGCAATCTGCTTTCTTTTGATGTAAATTGGCCGTGTTCCAGTAAAGGTGTTCCCCGGTATAACAATGTGTGTGGGTTAGGTGTCACCCTCCTTTCCTGAGTGTTCTGTCACCTCTGCCCAAGGGTTGTTAGAGAGCAAAATACACCATTTCCTGCAATCGGCTTTGCTGTAATCTGAACCTTCCTATGCTAGAACTCTGCTATGGGAGGATGTGTCATTATCCTAATATACCAAAAGTCGTGTGACTGGTGGGATTACAGCCTGCCATCTGTGTTAGCCAGGTGTGTGCACAAATGATGCTGATAAAGTGAAACTGACGCTGAATATGAATGACTTTATAAAGACCATGTTGTCTTGCTCATTTATGGAAAAGTGTCTGTGTCTCTTTAAAGCCCACCCCCTATCCCACCTATACTCCACAGCCTGCTCCTTCCTCCTCCACAGTTATTGCAAAATACCTGGTTCTTCTGGATATGAGGGAGCATGTGTACTCCTCCCATGATGCAGTGCTGACCTTGTGGCCAGTGACTCCCTGTAAGCTCAACTGTATCCTACAGTTGCTATGATGGGGTGCTGTGAAGGAGTACAGCTGGTCAGGGGTTGCCTTTAAATAGACCTTGTCACTTTGTTCCCAGATCTATTTTAAATGGATCATACCAACTTGCCCATTTAGAACAATTATTTTTATTTATTTTATTTTTTAATTCTTTATTAAGTTTGAACTCCTGTAGGGAATGGTTTCTTTTATGCTTCTGGTAAAGGTCCCTTTACTTCTCATCAAAGAAACACAAAAGTGAGAGGAAATATCTACAAACGGGCAAATTGTCACTTGTCTTTGGAACTGGTGTCCCTACTTGAAGATTTCTGCACTATTTCTGTTCAACTAAAATCTGATACAGGCTCTTACCCTTCTACACTCCACCTAAAATGAAAAAAGTTATTTTGTTTTTTTTTGATACACTTAAAATTAGAACTGCACAAAGTATCATTAGTGAACCTGTATAATGTCAGGTTGTGTGCACTTGCTTTTTCTTTTGCAGAGTTTGAGTTGCAGTATCGCATACAATGAACCATGTGAATTGCGTGCTGTCATGTCTCACTCTACTCCCCCACCCCTGTTGTCTGTCACATTTTGTCTCTCTCCATCTTCCCCTCATGTCTTTTGGGCTCTCTCACCTTCTGTGTGTTTTTGTGTCTTTTTTTTTTTTTTTCTTTTTTTTCTCTCCCTCTTGCTCTCTTTTTCTCTTTCTCCCAACCTCCCCCACAATCTGTACATAAAATGTTGTCTGGTGTTACTTTTATGTTGGGATGGCAGAAGAACAAATGTTCCTAATGGTCCTCCCTCTCAAAATTCTTGCTTTTTCCCTACAGAGATTTTGACTCTCTGGATGAGCGTGATGTGGAGAAGAATAACCAGCTGGCATTCGATATCGCAGAGCGGGAGCTGGGTATCTCTCCGATCATGACCGGGAAGGAGATGGCATCTGTTGGGGAGCCGGACAAGCTTTCCATGGTGGTTTACCTTAGCCAGTTCTATGAAATGTTCAAGGAGACCTCCGGATCTGGTAAGGTGGCAAATGATATTAGGGTTCAATCCACAGGCTCATGACTGCTTCCACACTATTTCAAACCTTAGCACTTTTAAAGGATAACAAAAAAATAATCAAAATGAAAGCAACTTTACTTCACTCTACAGATCTCAGACCAGCAACACATTTTTATCATATTTTTTTAATATTCCTTCTCTCTACTTATCCAGGAGGCTATGCTAGACTTACCTCTCATAGACCTTGATGGAGAAGTCATGTACTTGCTGGCTTGTGTCCTGTGATATTTAGGGTGGGGGTAGATGGCATCATATTTGACCTGCATACTTTTCCATTGTACCTGGAATTGTCATTACAAAAAAAAAATAGGAGTGAACCTGTATGTGGGGAGAGCAGCCCCTGAGAACTTTGGTACCTTATTTGAGGGTGTATATGGTATTTTCTGAAATCACTTTTTTTTTTTTTTTACTGGTACAAATGACATTTTGGGCTAGTGTGTCCCTTCCACTCTCTCAGCTGAGGTTAGACTTCACTTCTAAGTTATTATTAAAGCTAAACTCCAACGTCTCTTTTGTTTAGCACAGTTGTACGGTCTCCTGTACTGAAATTGCTTACTCTGATTTAACTGCGCACTATGAGCTTCCTACAATGTGCATTAGAAGCTGCAGTAAGATAGCACATGCCTCTTTTCCTGGCCGGAGAACATCCGGCATCATCTAGCCTTTTGTTCCTGAGCCTGACTGTCCCTGGCCTGCCCCCCCATTCATTCAGTGGATTTTAGTTCTTTCAATAATAGAATCTTTGCAACACAAGGGTGTGGGTGTTACCAGGTGTAGTCTGAATGTAATTGCCCATTCCTTCAAATGTAAACTTTATTATGTGTATAACTCCACCCAAGAGCCAGCCCACTGTTTTTATCAGGGCTCAGAGCTCTTGAGTGGAGTACTGAGGTAGGGTGTTGTGACATTTCCAGGAAGCTATGTACAGCACCCTGCTAGCCCCTCCTACCAGCTAAAATCTGCCTGCATTGCATAGAGAAGCACATAAACCTTATGATAATATTGGAAATGTATGAAAATGGAAATGTTTTATTAGCATGTTAAAGAATATGTTCAGGACAAGCAACTGACCTCTTCTGCTTCTCATATTCAGACAATGCCGATCCAAATGCAGACGAGAAGGCTGCTCTCCTTGCCGCTGCCAAATCTCCCATCTCTTTTCTGAGCAAGTTGGGTCAGACAATCTCTCGGAAGCGTACTCCTAAGGTAGGCTGCTGACTTTGTGGACCTATTCTGCAGCTTTATATTGTTTTACAGCTTTACATGACTGATGCCTATTGGAAAAAGTACAGGCAAAATTAAAGCCCAACTCCACAGAAAATAATTTCTTTCTCACAGTACAGGACGCAGGCTAAGCATCCACAGACCTTGGTTGTTATGCTCGTACCTTCAGATGACTGGCAAAACATTTGAGGCCTTTGGGCGCCTCCTCTATAACCCTACCCTGCTCAGAGAATCCTCAGATTTTTTGCTATTGTCCTAAGATGATAAACCTGTTCTTCTCAGGGAAATACCTCTTGGTTCAACTAGCTCATTTTTTAAAATTTAACTCTGAATGAATATGTATTACACATGAAAAGCATAAAAATCAATTAATCTGCAGTTCAGTGCATTGATATAGAACACAAAAATCCACATAAATTGCAAATCGAATACAAATTAAAAAGACAAATGTCCAGTGTATAAATAAGAAACTTGACTGTCCAGTATCATTATCAATATAAATATGTACCAAATCTCAACTCCAATTCTCAGTGTTGCTGTGTATCCAGAAAACGTTAGTGGTGCTTTTGAGCTTCATCACTCCCCAACAGACACTCTTACAGAATCTACATGTCTTTCTTTTGACAGATTGGCATAACGCTTTAATCAGTAGATGCTCAATCCTTCAGGTTCCCCATTCACAGGCATGCACGGTCTCCTCCTTTCTCCTCTGCTTATATTCCACAAGGTTATGTATAGAAATGAAATGGACCTAATCGTGTAATACCCATAAAAAAAAAAAGTGACTTTATTCAATAAAACAAGTTACTCACAGAAGTTGACTTATAGCATACCTCAAAGCTCACTGCATCCAGGCAAAAGTCATCTATACCATCCATAGAGCATCAAGTGGCCACTCTGTATGTTAAGCATCTCACCCAGACAGCTCAGATCGGCAGTTCAGTTCTGGTAACTGATGAGGCCTGTTCCAACATATTTCGTCTTTGACAAAGTCAGTCAGGGTGGGCTTAGCAGTAATCAGAAGTCAACTGCTGATCTGGGTTGTCTGGGTGAGATGTTTACAGAGTGCCCGGCTGTAGTTTATTATTTAAACGCTGGACACTTGAGGTTTTGATTCACTTGTACTTGATTTGCATTTTTTGGGGGGTACACAGTTGGATAGCATGGAGTAGAGGTCAGTTTCTATTTTCCTTTATTGTTTTAATTTCGGACTCTTCATTCAGCTCCTCACTGTCTTTGAATGTCACAAATAGAAACTGTGTATCTGGATTGGTTCAGCTGAATCAATGCAACCTCAATGCTATGGGTATGGTCAGTAATGTTACTCCTGGCACTGGATCCTGCATGGGCCCTCAGCTTAACACTTAGTGCAATACATGCAGTCACCCACAGGGTGCTATACAGGGTCGTGGGTATATCCCTATAGAACCCAGTCCCTGAAGACACCACTGAGATGGGCAAAATCTGGAATTAATTTACAGTCCAGCCTCATGGACAGGTAAGACAGGATCACCCTGTATGCTTTTGGCCATTACTGTAAAGGACTGGGATATTTGAATTGCAATCACTAAGGTGTAACCTTTTAAAATCTGGCCCTAAAATTTAATCACTCAGAACTCCCAGGTGGTTGACCAGGTGTTACATCACACCAATGGTTGCACACTTTAGCGCCACTGGCAGCTAGAGTCCTTTTGAGGTACTTGGGTGCATTTTGACACGAGGATTTATTACAGGGCAGTCTACACCCAGGTTATTGTGTCTAATCTACAACCAGGTTCTGGGTCCAATTCTGGAGACCTCACTTACAAAAAGATATTAAGATAGAGTCCAGACACTGGCAACAAAAACGGAGAAAGGTCTGTGAGAACCTGATGGGTACAGTCTGGAGGAGAGACGGGACAGAAGAGACATGGTCAGGGCAGACTCGATGGACCACTTGTTCTCTTTTTTTTTTATTTCTGTTTCTGTGTTACTGCATTCTTCTAGACACGCTTAGCCTATAATCTGCACACTACTCCATGAGTACCCCACAGGGGACCAGACAAAAAGGAGCCCTTGCAAAAGCCGCCTGCAAAACGGTCCTTACATTTTTGAAGGAAGATGTCTGTTTGGGAAGGGAATTCATAAAATATTTCACAAGATTAAAAGGTTTACTACCACATTACAAAATCCCCATCCACAAGGAGCTTCCACCTTGGCAAAACTAGGAGCACCTTATTGCTCTACCCAGACTTCAGATTCCAAACCTAGGTTCAGCCCTTCCTTTGAGTCTTCCTCAAAGCCTTTCTTTACAGTGAAGGGGTGCCCTCACTCCTTAGAATTGGGGAGACATCTGTTAGTTTTCCTCTCTGGGTTCCATCAGTGGTTTCAAGAGGGGGGTACAAAAAGTTCAAAACCCTATCTTCTCACTGCTTTCTTCTTTCACGTCAACTAAAGACTACCGTCTGCCAGATATGCAAAATGCACTGAACCATTTCTTGTCCCCATGGAGTAATTGTGCACTAACCCCACAAGATAGGTTCATATGATTTCAGTCAAATTTGTTCACAGTTCCATAGCCCAAAAGGGGTATTTCATCCTATTCTGTGCTTTAAAATCCCTCAACAAATACCTTAATTTCCAAAATATCCCATGTAATCTACAAGGTAGATAATTGCCTTTCCGAGACCAGAGAAAACATGGCATCTTTACACGGCCATGTTTACCTATCTGCATATTCTCATTATCCACCTCATCAGCGCTTTCTGCACTTTGCAATGCCAGACAATCACTTACAGTTTGTCACACTGCCTTTTAGCCTATTGTCTGCTTCTAGAGTATTCACAAAGGTCCTAGCACTTCTTCTCAGAACTCGGGGCATCTGTACATCCTTCTCCTGAAGGACTCATCTTCCTTCCAGTTGTTTGCATAGTCCATGAGACAATTCAGATGCGCCAGGGTTTTGCTTAGGTGACCCATTTAAGGAACAAAATCTGCTCTCCAGTCCTCTCTTCACTTGGAATACTTGGATCTGGTTCTAGACCCATCCCAAACAAGAAAATTATTTTTCTTAGAGCCCATGCATGAAAATTGAGGTCAAAGAGACAATGAGATGACGCATGAAGGTATTAGTCCTTATAGTAGCCTTCTTCAAGGCTTTGATATATCCCTTGTCTCAGATTAGACTAACCTTTGCCTTCCCTCCAGTGCAAATTCTTCCTTGTCTGATTAAAATGATAAAGCAAGGTCGGGAAAAACAATGATGCTCATTACACCGAACTGACCCAGAAGAACCTGGTACACAGACATGCTCAAAATCCTAGCAAACCCGAAGACCACTGGCCTTTCCTAACAGACCAGATCGGTTTGTCTCAGGGCCCTCTATTCCATCCTGTTTCTCAGTTTTTAACTTTGACGGCATGGCTGTTGAAGCCCATACCTAAAAGATAGAGGGGTCTCAAAGTCTGTTTCTACCTTGCTGAAAGCTAGACCAGCCACTTGCAGGAAGATCTATTATCATACCTGTAAAATGGCTTTTTTTTTTCTTTTTTATTGCCTGGTTTGAACACAGGCATTTCAACCCAGAGATTCTGTGCCTCACGTCTTGACCTTCCTACAATCAGGTCTAGCCCAGAACTTGGCCTTAAACACTTTGGCAGAGAATGGAGAAAGCTGAAACCTGTCTTTTTTTTAAAGACCTCTCACTTTTATTCTCCCTTGTAAACACTTTTGTTCAAGATGTACCTCGCAGTCAAGTCCCCATTGCAGCTCCCTGTGCCCTTCTTGGGATCTCAGCTTGGTTCTCTGTCCTGCAGAAACCACCCTTTGAATCTATCAGGGATATTCTCTTAGATGTCCTCTCCTACAAAGTAGCCTTTTTTTGTTGCGATCGTGTCTGTCAGACTTGTGTTCGAGTTTGCTGCCCTTTCTTGTAAGACCTTGTATTTTACAAAGACAAGCTTGTCTTATACATCAATAACAATATGGTCTTGAGTTATGCACTGCGCCAAAGCATTCAAAGGAAATTATTCTTTATTATCTGGACGTAGCCATTAGTCTATCTCAATGCTATGTGTTTATTAAGAAAATCAAAAATGTATTTTTTTTTTTTTTTTTTTAAATAAAGTGTTACAAACAAGTGTCAAGGCATCTGTCTATAATTCATAGGGACAGCATGGGTACAGAGCAGAAATCATGCAATATAAATACCATTTGGAAAAATAAGCTTTAACTGTTAATCTAGTCTATATCTCTATTAACAAATCTACTGAAGGTACACCTAGTGGTTACAGATAATGACTTGACAAGGCTAGCTATACATAACCAGACTGATAGTTCATATGAGCAGAACAATTCACAGTCTACAATGTATGTGAAGTAATACATCCAGCCAGACCAAATATCACAAAATGTATCCTGCTTGTCTTGGGAGGATAGCACCCACCTCTCTACTTCCCTTATCTTTTCCACTTCCCTTTTCCAGTCAGGGATAGTAGGACATCTTTCCTGTTTTCAGAACCTAGGGATAAGGCTCTTGGCTGCTTTGAACAGGTGAGGTGTGACACTGTTCTTGTAAGATTTAATGGATGAAGGTACATCATTGAGAGGGATATGGTTAATGGGCTTGAGGGTAGTTTTTCTGTGTCCAGGGTGAGATGTCTTCCCAGACTTTTGTTTTTTTAATCTTTGGACAGTACCACCATAAATGAAGGAACAAATCTTTCTGCATACAACCCCTCCAGCAATTTAGGGGTTACTCCTGGGAAAATGATAGCAAAATGAGTGTGGGTTTTGTACCAGTGTGATAGGACTTTGAAGGATAGTTCTTGTCTTTTTGTATTGATATGACATGGTAGAGTTTCATTTTTTGCAGTTGAGGAGGTAAGAATGTAATTCTTAACTCTTTCCCATTCTCACATGAAGTATGGTGTCTGTCCTGAATGTAAACATAACGGAAGCTTATACATCTGGAAAGCAAGTGTTGGGTGCCCCCCTCTATAGAGTACTTGGATTCA